GTGGTTAGGTTACCTCTCGTGAAGATGTTTCAGAACTATTTCAAGCCCGATTTTGGGAGATGGTGCCAGGGCATGCCATCGGATCAATTTCAGTGCAGGTATTTTGTTTAACTAGTTTTATTTCTTTTGGTCTTATATTGGTAAAAAAACATAGGTTGAGTCAGAGTTGGACTCACTTTTTCAACTAAATTTGAATTCGGTTTGTTAATCTTGTTAAACAAGCAAAAACAAGTTCAATTTCGTAAGAAATAAAAGCTCGTTAGACATATATGTAGAGATATAATCTAGCTCGAATTTGATATTCTTAAATTACAATCTAAATATAGAGTACTTTCTCCATGTGTCCCAAAAAATGTTCCATCTCCCCCTCGTCCCAAATTAATGTGCCCAGTTTGATTGGACACAATTTTTTATCAAGTAAAACTCTGTGGTTAGAGAGTTGTGCAGAGGAGAAAAAACAAAATGAACCACATATTTGTTTTTCTATAAGTGGAAACATGCACATTAATTTGTGACAAACCAAAAAGGATAATATCCAAGATAAATTGGGCCGGAGCGTATTTAGAAGGTTTTGTTTTTCAAATAGTTGTATTTTAAGAAATGGGGCTACTTTTTCATGTAATGTGCCAAACAAGATTTACAAAAAGGGTTCCAACATGATAGATTTAGTTCAACCAGTAAATTTCAAATACTGAACTAGGAACTCCGAAGAGTTGATAAATTACCAAATTTCAAAGGTTGTACTTTGATCAAACATGACCATATGGATGGGGAGTGTAGTTTAAATTCAAGCTACCAAATGTTCTCATGAGCTACAAAGTGAACATGTTAACAACCACCGAATAAAATCCAATTACAATTGAGCTGGGTGTGTTCACCTTAACAGGCTGCTTTGGTTTTAGTAAATTGCTACATGCTGCGGATAGAGTAGAATTAGCATGTATGTAACTAGGGCGGTAGGGTGTTCCTCGCCTCGTTGCATTTGGTTTGAGGTTTCGTCTCTTTCCCTCCCTTAGTCCATTGTAATTAAGGTCTGTATCTTACAGTAGGCATTCTTTGCCATTCTTTTTCTTTTGGGCAGATGAAGAATGGAATGGACGATGGGGTGGTGCTCCAATATGTGCGTGATCTGTACCATGATCTCGGGGTACAAGATTTAACCCTACAGATTGATTATGCTTCATGATACACTATGAGGTATTCTAGCAGGCTGGCTACTTGTGATTTTGCTTTCAAATGTTGCTTTAAAATATTTCACGGGGTATAAGTATAATATTTGTTTACGTATAATGTGTTGTACTACTCGAGAAATATAAGGATAGTTTTTTTTTTCTTTTTTTGGGAGAGAATCTAAAACGCCATTTTGGGTGTTTAAATTATACTCCGTATTACGGAGTATGTAGCAAGGTTGGGGATGACAATGCAAAATGGCTTACTAAAGTCATTTTTTAAAACAAGAATAGTGGTATTGCATTGTCATCTCTTACCTTTTCTTGCTATAATTTAGCTAAAAACTATGCTCCATATTTGCCATATATTGTTTTCACTATTATGGTACACTATTTATAATAATTTTTAGATTGGATTATTTCATTTTTATAAAATTGAATAATAAATTATGTACTTTAAAGATAGTACTCCCTTCGTCCTAAATTATTTACAACGTTTCGAATAACACACAAAATATTATCTTTTTTAAAATTACTTTTTTTACAAATTGGTAGAAAAATAAAAAGCATAAATTACATTAAAAGTTCTACAAACCAAGATGTGACAAGATTACAACAATATTTTATTGTATCAAATAGTTAACCAAAACGAGTAAACAAACAAAAGTTATCGAGTAACCATAATAGTAATTGTGACATTTTTTTGGAAGGGAGTATTTTAAAATAAAATATGGGATAATATTTTGCTTTTGGCAAAATAATAAAATATATTATTTTAATTATTTAATAAATAGAGTGTAGAGTAATGGAATATTTCAAAAAGAAGAACGAGAGAGAAGAGAAACAAATCAATAACTCATTTTTAATAATATCATGACCTATTATGTTTTGAGAGGCTAGTTGAAGTTAAAATTTAGCAATTATGTTGCTCCGTGTAATGTATTATGGCAAGCTCATTCAAGCACAAAAAATGGGATGCCTTATTTGTTGATTTATTTGTTGGCAGTTCACTTATTAGTTGATTTTTAACTTTATTTTTTATTTAATTCATAAATATATTTTATGTAAGAGTAAAATAATGTGAAGACAAGTATGGGATACAAACTTATACTCCGTAACTAGTTACACATGAATTGAAGGGGCAAATTGGTGTATTCAAGAGGTGTGTGGAAAAGGAGGGTTAATAATTAATGTTAACCTCGTGAAGCTTTTAACAATAACATGCAAAGCCACAATAATTAACATTTGATGCAAGCTATGACCAATGGGGATGTAGCTCAAATGGTAGAGCGCTCCCTTTGCATGCGAGAGGCACGGGGTTTGATCCCCCGCATCTCCAATCAGTATTTCTAATTTCATTTTTTTTCTTTTTCCTTGGGCTTGATATTTTCGGATACGGGTCGGATCATTTTTTAAATAGACGAGGAACTTTAACAACAACTTCGGATTTTACAGGTCAGACTGTGTAAATAGTAACTGAGAAAATAGTTTTAGGACCGAGGGAGTATATCAAATATGCCTCTGTCCCTGAGTATTTGTCCATTTTTGACTTTATTTGATCAACTGTTTTCAACCTTTGACCTATAATTAAATAAAATATATATTGTATTTTAATGAAATAAAATAATATTTTGAAAATATTTGATATAATAAATCTAAGAAAACTATTTTTGTATCAATATCTAATACTCCGTATTATTTTTATTTAATTTGAGGTCAAAGTTTACCAATTTTGACCGGAAAAAGTCAAAAACGGACAAATATTCAGGGACGAAGGGGTACAAACTATCTAACACTCCCTATATGTAGTAGGTGTTTATTTATTTTTTAATTATGTAAAAAATATTAACCATGAGGGCCGGCCCAACTCAAAGCCCACGGGTACCTATCTAGGTCGGGTTCTTGCTGTAATTGTTAGGCGCGCGATACGTGCTGGGTCGAGTTTGTGCCTAAAAATTTTGATAAGGTAGCGTCTTGATCCATCTCGAAACCTAGTTCGGGCCACACTTTGATAAGTTCCAATTTTAACGGATTAAAAATGGTTAAAACAAAAAAGAAATTTTAAAATATTGTTTTGTAACTCTTTGTTGTAAAAATGTCCCACTTCTTTCCTTACTTTTTTATGTCATTGAAATTCTTATTAATGTTAAAAATGTTGTTCTTATGTCTTTAATCGGTAATTGAACTTTCATTTAATTTTATTTTTTTCTCAACTTTTTCTTCTTGTTTTTTTAAAAGATATTTTTTCACTTCTATCAGCTCACAAAAACTATATTTTAAAAAAGGTAAAGTTGTTTCAAAGAGAAATTTGAGTATATCATGTTGTTTTTAGACCATCTAGCTAGCTTTCATGAGCTAGTCACTTGTTTCACCATAAAAATTAATGGCAACAAAAGAAATATCATATCACAAAAATTATGTTTCCACAAAAACATATAAATATTTAAAAAATTACCCTATAATGTTAATAATTCAAGAAAATATTTTATATAATAATAACATTAATAATAATAATGCAGAGTAATTATAGCAACAACAATAATACTAGTAATACTTTATAAGTGTTATTATTATTCTTAATATTTCCATTATTATTATATATAAAAAAAGTTTTAGTAAGCATACTTTCTAGTGTCAATATAACCTCCCCCGCCCAGTCCATAAACAAAAGAGCACAAAATACAGAGTATAATTTTACAAAAATAATATAATGATCCATTTGGTGAGTTTTGAAGATATGATATGTTATATATTTTGAAATATGTGAGAAATAATATGAGTTTTAAAATCTGAAATGAATTAAATTGTTTGTAAAGATTTAAAATTATGATCTAGTTAATGATCATAGGCATGGCTGCATGGGTGATTGGCAACAAAGGTGGTACGGTGGCAGTGGTTGCTGATGGCGGAAGTGATCGAAATTTTAGAGTTATCAAACTCTAGGAAAATGTTAGTCACAGACAAAACTCTAACAAAATGCACAAATCTGTCATTTGTGAATTTAAGTATTTATTTTTTAATTATTGTAGCAGTACTCGAGACTCTATATTCATACCTCTCAAATTTGGAAGATACATAACATTTTCATTTGGAGGATTTAAAATATCTAAAAATACCTAATTTCAACATTTCTAATGTTTCATCAAACTAAAAAAAATTGATATTAAAAAATACAGAAACTCATATCTCTTATACTTATCAAACAGATACTAAAAATACTCTTTCCGTCCAATAATAAACTTTCCAGTTATTACTATGGTCTTTCAATAATTTATGTTTGTTTGCAAAGTTTATCAATTACTCCCTCCGTCTTGGAGTATTTGTCCACTTTAGATTTTTTCGGTCAAAATTGGTAAGTTTTAAGCTCAAAATAAATAAAAATGATATTAGATATTTATATAAAAAGAGTTTTATTAGATTTACTATATAAAATATTTTCAAAAAGTGATTTTATCTAATTAATATAAAATAATACTTTTATTTAATTACAAGTCAAAGGTTAAAAATGATTGACTCAAAAAAATTAAAACTGGACAAAATACTCTGGGACGAAGGTAGTATTTGATATGATAAAATATTTTTGTCACATCTTATTTTGTAAAACTTTTGATGTAGTTTTAAAAAATTTAATTTTTTTTTTAATGACATGCTAATTTATAAATAAAGTAATTTTAAGAAAGACGAAATTTTACATTTTTAGATGTAATTTAAAATGAAAAGTTTATTCTTGGACTAGAATAAGTAGGGAGTAATGTAAATGAGCCAGTCCAATAGGTCGGTGGGGTCGGTCATATATGGCTATGGAACAGATAAAATAAATAAACTCAGAACCCCCACTTCATTATAGCTCTTCTTCTTCTTCTTCTTCACGATTCACCATCGCCAACGAGGAACGGGTGATCTAAATTCAAGTATTGATTATTCCTCGAAGTTCTAGCACAAATCAAGCGTCGGAAGGTAAATATCTCCAAATCTCTATGTCTTTTCACTTCTATTTCCGCATATTAATTGTGAATTGGCGTTTGATTTATGTGTGGAAATGCTTGTATTGGAATAATCCCCTAAGGATTGAATTCTCTGAGTTGAAATTATGCTCTAAGTGCGAGGGAACGCATTTATGTCCGGAGCATTTTTTGTTGTTGTATATTTTTTGTTTTCTACCACAAATTTTGGTTTGCACTGATATACCTATTTGTAGTGTTCACATGAAAACTTGTTGATAAATGTATTTAGAGTCACAAATCATTGATAAAGTATGTTTATCAATACTTTATTCGTACGGAGTATGAAGTTCAATAAGTTCATTTCACCAGTTCAAGAATTTCCATAATTTATTTCAGTTCAATGGTCTGAATTGGAAGTTGGGTGTTTTTTTTGTATGAACAGCTTTTGGATCAAGATGATACCTGTTTGGCCTTTCGCTAAGGCTGCTCAACCCAATGAAGCGTCTGTTCAGAACGCCAATGAAAGCCAAAATGAGCAGAGAGATGGGATCGAAAACAAGCACAAGAAGGAATCTGGACAGCCAGCTATAGTGCCATCCAAATGTCCGTTTGGATATAAACAACAAGCTGGGAGTGAAATTAATCCTAAGCAAGAGTCTGGGGAGCAACCAATGGGGCCGTCCAAATGCCCCCTTGGATACACACCGCAAGCTGTATGTGAAAACAAGGCTAAGAAGGAGACTAGGGATGGTATTGTTTCGCCAAAGTGCCCTCTTGGATTTGATTCTCAAACATTTAAGCTCGGCCCTCTTAGCTGCATGATTTGTCAAGCACTACTTTATAATTGCAGCAGATGTGTGCCTTGTTCTCATGTATTTTGCAAGTAAGATGAAATACATTATCTGCTCAAGTTTCTATTCTTGATTTCATTTTTCTATGATCCACTCCCCCATCGATTTGCTTGTGGGGTGCTATAACAAGTACTCCATAAAATTTTAAGCAGTGACATTGGTAGAGTGCTGGTGAGCAACATCTCCACCCTCACCCTGATGTGCGTGCTTGTAATTTGTCGTTTTGGGCCTTTGCCCCACACAATACGGATTGTGTACTATGAGAACTATATTTTAGTTTGGTCCTACGATATAAGTTTTTGGGCCCCATCCCAGATGGTTCCCTAACGTAGCTTAGTTGTTACCCTTCCTTTCTATAGTAGGCAGACCACACTATGAAAATGAATGATAATGATTAGTACAGATGATGCCACATAAGCCATCAGACTATGTAAGAGAGCCAGAACAATGCTCTGTAAAATTACTCCTCTAATAGTGTACTTGTTTGATACTGGGATATCAGAGTATGTATCACACGCTTCAAGGACTGTCCATTATGTGGAGCTGATATTGAGAAGATTGAAGCCGACATTAATCTTCAAAGTACCGTGGATCGCTTCATTGAAGGGCATGCAAGGATCAAGAGATCTCAGGTTGATGCAGACCAAGATGTAGGTGATAGAAAGGCAGTTATATATGAGGACGTTTCTTTGGAAAGAGGTTCATTTTTGGTGCATCATGCCATGCGAGTAAGATTTTGTGATCTTCAGAAATTAGAATCACTTGCCACTCAATATTTTTTTCAACATCACTAATTATAATGATGTTTACTGTAGCTGCTTATTGAAACCTAAACTGTAGGCATTTCGTGCAAATAATGTTGAAAGTGCAAAATCAAGACTGAGCCTATGTGTTGAAGATATTCGAGAACAGGTAGAAAGAATGGGAAATACGTCAGAATTGTGCTCACAGCTTGGAGCAGTTCTGGGTATGCTTGGTGATTGCTGGTGTGCAGTTAACCCTACTTTCTTTTTTAACTACACAAATTAGTGTGTGACCTTATGTAAACTTCATTTGGCTTCTTGATAAGTTGGTATATAGTTTGAAAAAATAAAACAATATTGAAGACTATTTTGACTTCTAAAAATGCAGCCGAGCAACTGGGGATGCAGCTTCTGCAGTCAACTATTTTGAAGAGAGTGTAAACTTCCTTCTGAAAGTTCCTAAAGACGATTTAGAGGTTGGAATCTCTTGGTGAGAAGTATATGATCTGCATATTGTGTAGATCCATCTTCATAGCTGTCAATGTTTAGCCATCACATAACATATATTCTTCATTCCGTTATAAATTTTCATCAAACCTCAAATAAATTGCCTGAGACTTTGTTTGGTTTAGGGATGATTTAAAGAAGAGCGAATTGGTGAAAAAAGAGACAGAGAAGAGAGAAATAAGATAGATTTTGTGTATTGCTTTGTTATCATAGTTATTAAGTGCGCCAGGCGCAAAAGGGTCCTAGAGGTGCAATGCTTATGTGAGGCGTACGCCTCAAGAACATGAGGGGCAAAAGGGTCGTAGAGATGCATGGCACATTTGAGCATTATGCCTCAAGAACATGAGGTGCAAAGAAGAAATTAAAGATCAACATATTTCATATTAATATTGTCATCCAAACACAAGAAATAAATGATCAACATTCCATATTAATAATGTCATCCATACACATACCAAACACAACACACTTTGGAAATAAAGGCAATAATGTAACAATTTTTTTGGTAATGAACCTTTGAAATAGAGAAGAAAAGAAAAAAAAGAATTAGAATATAGGAATGATGAACTTGTCTAATGATAGTCTGAAAACACTTTTTTATATAAACTACATCGTCTATGAACAAGAGAAAAGAAAAGGAGAAGACAAAAAGGACAGGAGGAAACAGGAGAGGAAGAAGAGAAGAAGGAACAAGAAACATGCCTTGTGAGTGGTAAAAAAATAGAGAGCTGGGTCGCATGTGACCGAGCTTTCCCGGGAGTGGAAGTTGGCAGGTGGGGACGTAAAGAATTTGAGAGGGAGAGAGATGGCTAGTGTCTTACGATATATATATATATATATATATATATATATATATATATATATATATATATATATATTGTTTTGGCTTCCATTTCATTAAAAAATGTCTAATGCAAAAAAGGTTCTGGTGCATGATAGGGCACATTCCTATGTAACATAATCTGCCCTACCGATGCATGTACCCATGCTCCCTGTGCATGCCTTTAACAAATGTGATGGTTAGTGAGAAATGGAAAATAAATGATTTATGTGACCTGAGTTACGACTTCAGCATCTTTCCCATGGTGTGACCATGTGACCTTAGATAAGAGCGACTGGAAGTCAAGGACTAGAGTGGTAGGGTAGATATTCGGGCCAAAGTTTGTAGTTTCCAGATGTGTTTTTGTGTCTAACCTTGTAGTTTTTGCATGTGTGCTTGTTTTTGTATGTGTTCTTACTTTGTTTCTGCTACCTTCTTTTGTCCTAATGCTTCCATGTTTTGAGTTGGGTTCTCATGGAAACATCTCAACTTTTCGAGGAGGGGTAAGGTTTGCGTACACACACTCCGCTTGGAGCTTTATTGGGTCTATTGTTGTTGTTCTCTCCATAAATGAGGAAATAAAAATGGATGAGATCAATCATTCAAATTTCTCTCCTCACAATTTCTTTCTCTCTATTTATTTGTCTCCTATTTCATATTTACCAACAAAGACTGTCTTTTCTGGCTTAGGTCTCACCTAGTTCTATGTAGAAACCCACTTAATTTTGATTACTTTCTCACTAAGGAAGTAGGATCATGGACTATGCCCTACATGACACTACTTTTTAAAACATTAATTTTATTGCATAAATCCATAACAATCTACTCCCTTTTTCCTAAAATCATCTTCCCTTGTGAAAAATGGCACGGAGATTGAGAGTGTAAGGAAATTTTATTTACATGCCAGTACCTACTTTCTGGTCTGTCCATTGCTAATGTAGCTAAAAGAGTCATTATTGACAATGTTTTAGTTTCAGGTTCATAATGAACTAAATCAAAATGAAAAATTAAACTTCTCTTGCTTCTTACTTTCTATGAAGTTTTGGGCAGTAAATGCAGCAATGCATCTAAGTAATGCAAATAGCCTCTAGGGTAAGATTGCATCCATCTAGACCTTCAAACCCCAACATAGTTGGCATTATATTGGGTTGTTTTCCCTACCAACTTTTTGGGTTGTAAATATTTAAGTTGTCCAGGGTAAAAGTGTATTTTTATTATAAAGAAGTAAAACATGTGTACCATAAAAGATATCAAGAACATGATTTTGAGACATTTTGAAGTGGCAGATGGGCAGTTGATTTTGTGACAGAGGGAGTATCTTTTAATAACCCATGCTAATATAATTCATTACCTTATTGCTATTCAACATTTGTAGATCACCCATACACTTTCTGTTTCTCTAAATAAAATTGGAGACCTCAAATATTATGGGGAAGACTTACAAGCTGCAAGGTCATATTACTTCCAAGCATTGGATATTCGGCGCAATGCCATCAAGCAGCATTCTCTGCCAACCCAGGTCAGCTTACTTTTTTCTACAATACTAGTGGATTGCTGTAATCATAAAACAAATTTTTTTGAAAATCAAAGTTACTGTGTGTTTGTTGTATGTTGCTTGCTCAAGATGTGTGAGGCACTCTCAATAACTCAATTTGTGGTGATGCAAATGTTGTGTGTTTGTGAAATACTCCGGGTTATATTATTTTTACAAACCTGAACATGCACATCAAATAACCGTTGGATAATGGTAATGTTGTGCTGAAGTAGTGGTTGAAACGACCAAATGAACTTATTTATTTCGAGAATAGTTTTTTCAATAAATCAAATACTAAGATATTTTGAAATAAGGGTAAAAGTTTTGTATCCATTCATTTCAGGGAAAAAAGTATTGCACTTCATTTGTCTATGATTGCTTATCTAGCACAATCAAATTAGTTTTTGGTATATATCTTGACCAATAAGGCTAATAAGCAGAAAACGTTCTTTAACCAAATGGGGGATATAATGCTATTTATCAAGTTTTTTTTTGAGTAAATTCCATAATTGGTCCTTTATAACAAGGAGGTTTCCATATTTAGTCCTTTATTATCAAATATTACCTTCGTAGTCCTTTTTTGAAGGGTGCCTTTCCACAAATAGTCCTTTTTTTGATCTTCTGCCATGTTGGTGTTAATTTAAAGGCTAAAAGTATAATTTGACATCAACATTATGTTTAGTGACGTGTTCTGATATTGGTTAAGCGGATAACACAAAAATAATGACTATGATTATGGGCTAGGATTCCGACGAAAGACCACATTTATAGACTATGGTTGCAGTAAAAAGCGATTGTAATTCACAAATGACGCAAACGGAACATCCTTTGGAATTGTGTATGACAAAAAAGATATATTATGATTGTGAAATTACATTTTTAGCCCTCAAATTAACACCAACATGATATAAGATCAAAAAAGGACTATTTGTGGAAAGATACCCATAAAAGAAGGACCACTAGGGTAATATTTGATAATAGAGTACTAAATAGGGAAACCTCCCTGTTATAAAGGGCCAATTATGGAATTTACTCTTTTTTTTAAAATTAACTAGGAGAGCAGTCCGATGGAGCCAAAGATTCACTATTTTTTGGATTTAGAGTATGATGGAATAAAAGAAAATGGTTCTTTAAACTATTCACGCTTCTTTTGATTGTGAATAGCAGTTAATCAATGCAACTTTTGATGCTCATCGTGGCAGGCGCTCTATGTCTTAAACATAGTGGTCAGGTTGTGTACATCCGACCCCACCTCCACCCTGCAATGGTCGGGAGCCTTTGAGGCACTGGGGTAATGTTGTTGTTGTAACTAGGAGAGCCTTTGAGGCACTGGGGTCATGTGTTTTCATAATATATGAGCTTAATGTTAATCTGTCTGACTTTGTTCCCTGCTATCACTGTTCCAGATCATAGATGTGGCGATTTCACTTGCAAAAGTTTCTGATGTGGATAGAAATCTTGGAAAGGAGGAAGCTGCAGTAGACGGGTTTCAAGAAGCCATTGAAATGCTTCAATCTCTGAAGCTGAATCCTGAAGAAGCTGGGCTTGAACAGCGGGTAAGTTAATTGCTGCCTTATTTTCTTTGCACATGCCTCCTTTATGTCTAACGGTTTTTAATTAAAAAAGAATGTCTATTGATATAGCTGTTATTGATGTTTTCCAGTAGTTATACCTTGGTCAAATTAAAAAGTTGTAGCGAAACATGAATTTTTTTATGGAATAGATGAAGTATCAACTTAATAAAAAAACGTGAAACCAAAATCGGCCGACAAACTGACCACAACCAATTTACCCAAGAGGGTTTTGTTCAAGGTTTTAAGGTTTGAACTTTGACAACCAACCAAACCATCTCAAACTTACCTAGCTGACCAAAATTAACCAAACCAGAACCAAATCAAGTTGTTGGTCTTGCCATTTTCAAAGCCGAACTGAATTAATCCACAATGGCCTGACTGATAGTACTTAAATGTATAAGTACACATCTCAAAACAGGTAAACAACCCTCAACATTTAGGACATTTTGTGGACTGCCAAACGGGTTTGGGTTGGATATGCAACCCATTTGGGGTAACACCCGAGAAATATTATTAACATTGTGTTCGGATGCAGAGATTATCGGTGCTCGAGTACCTCCATAGTCAGCTTGGCAAGAAAGATTCCCCATTTCAGGTTCATGATTGATCGATGGTTTTCATCCAAATAGTCCAATATTGAAGACATCAGTTTGTAAATTGCTTGGAAGGGCTGTGCCACTTCTTGTACACCAAAAAAAAATGTCATACGCCGATTTATACGCCATACATAAAAACACCATTTTTGTTCTTGCAAGTGTTTAGTCTTGTCTCTTTGTGCGCACACGAATGTCACAGAAAACACAGATGTATGCGAGAGCAGAAAAGGTTGTTTCTGTGTATTATAACATATAAGTTGGTGTGTACAACCTTTGCCTTGTTATAACGCCATGATTTTCTCACTTTTTGCACTGCCAGAACTGAAGTTAAAACTGAACTTTTTTGGGTGTTAATGTTGGGTTGGCCAAGCAAAAGGGCTCATTTGGCTTGTATTCTTCTTTTGCCTAATTCCATGTCTCAGATTCTAAAATATCATATTCCGTATATTTAAATTTAATTTTTTTTACCATTACCATTATTTAGTTAGATTGATTTGAAAATGAATTCAACCAACTATTGTGATTTGTTTTGTGACTTTAGACCTTTAGTTGAATTGTAAAACCATAGGTGGAACACTGAATATTCTTTTCGTTTTAAATAAATATTATTTACGGGTCAAAAATATGATTTCTTTATTTTTTTTGTTAATCAACAGTGATCCATATGGTGTCTTGTTAGAAAAATTGGCGATTCTTACCTACTTAATCCTCTGGTAAAATCTATTCAATTGCACTCCCTCCTCTTAGTTGACTTTGGAGTCTCCAATTGGGGGTAATGACATAATGGGCATGTTTGGTTTTCGACATTTGGGATGATTTTTGGCTATTTTGACCTATTTTAGTGGATTTGATTGGTCAAATTGTTAAAAAAAGTGTTTGGTAGTTGGCTGCAAAGGTTGGTTGTTTGAGCTCGAAAAACCAAAATTTAAAAAGCTACGGGGAGAAGCATTTTGGTTGGGCTGTTGGAAAATGGATTTTTTATTATTTGTTATTGTATGTAATTTTTATGAATAAATAAAAAATTATTATTTATTGTGTAATTAAATAAAAAATTGGTATTCAAATAAATATATAAATAAAAAATCAATAAATAAATAAGTAAATAAAATAATAACTATGAAAATAAATAAGTAAATAATATGTATATAAATAAAGAAAGAAATACTCTGTAATAAATAGTCCTTCCCCATGTAAATTTCATGAAGCGATTTGCGAGAACAAAAAAATTCTGATTTTTTTTAGACTTTGGTGTAGAAATAAATAAATTATAATTTCATCAAAAGTTTTTTTAAACAAAATATGATACTCTTTATAATTATATTATTCTATCAATTGATGGATAAAAACACATAAATAAATAAAATCATAATGACACATAAATAACTTAAACTTTTATTTGAGGAAAGAAAGAATATACTCCCTCCGTCCCAATTCAAATCGCCTGTTTTGACTTTTGGGTATATTTAACGAAAATAGAGTTGATTTTCTGAAATTGTCATTACTTTTTAGGAGGGATGACGATGAATGAGAAGATAAGGTGGAGAAGAGTGACTTATTTTAGTGGTAGTTTATGTATTTTAATTTACTCATAAAAGTTTACGATAACAAGTAACAGACAACTTATTTTGGGACGGAGGAAAAAGGAAAACATGCAATTTAAAATGGGACAGAGGAAATATATTGCAAAGCATGTTTTACCATATAATTATATAGGTGAGAAATTCATTAAATTAAATTCAATTTATAAAAGCTATTTTCAAGAAACTAAATTTGCCAAACATTTTTTATCAACAGCCAACATAATCGATTGGTCAAAGCAGCCAACTTAACCAGCCGTTCAAACCAGCCAACACGAACAAGTATCAGCCAAACTGTTAAGGGGCAAGTTAACATGCTGACTTACATTTTTCTACTCTAAAATACCAAATCTGCCTAAACTCATTTTCTCCATCGTCTTCTTTCGTAAGCATAGCCCTTGTTTTTATCTCCCATCGTTTTTTTATTTTCTTCATATTCAAAACTTCCCAAATTTTCTTCCTGCTTTATATCAAGCTTGTTCATATTAATCTGAATTTGGCAAAAAGTTAAAGAACCTTGTTTTTAGGAGACTTAGGCCCCGCAACTTATTTTCTCTGCTTTTTTCTTATTCTTATTAAAATCAGATCAGATCAGACCAGATCAGATTCAATCAAATGAGATCAGATCAGATCCAATCAAATGAGATCAGATCAGATCCAATCAAATCAGATCAGATCCAATCAAATCAGATCAGATCATATCCAATCAGATCATATCTAATCAAGAATTATTATTATCATTATTATTATTATTCTTAAAATGAAAATAAATAAACTTTAGAAACAAGTTAAATAGAAAATTTAGAAAGTAATCCTTAATTATTAGACGTCGGGAAAATTATTTTTAAAATACATTAACAATGTCAATCTAATTCTAATTATAAAATACATTTTTATTGCTACTTGTAATTTGAGTTTCTAAAGTTTTGATCTTTTACTACATCGAGTTGATCAACTTTGATCATGACTTAAATAAAATTAACATTTGATATTCATATACGGAGTATATTTTAGTGTAACTGAAATAACTATTATATCTATAGTGTTATATTAATCATAAAAAAGTTTTGTAGTACAAAGCACATGCTGATATTATATAAGGATGAGATATTTTAATAAAAATACTATCTCTTCTCTATATTGATTGTCTAAATTTAATTACCTTTTAATGTATATATGAACTAATTATTAAAATACTAAATCAATATTCTTATTTCATAAAAAAATAATCATAAAATAAAAAATATTATTACATTATAATATGAATGATTATTCTAATATATGAATTAACTAATTTTATTTCATTAAAAATAATCATTAAATAAAAATATTGATTCTATTATAATTTGAATTATCATTACAATTTTCAAACGTTATTATAAAGTCAAATAAAATTATTGATTTGAATTTTAAATCAAATCATAATTAATCTGATCAAATCAGACTATATCAAATCAGACCAAATCAGATCCAATAAGATCAGACCAGATCAGATCAGATCCAATCAGATCAGATCATATCAAAACTAAAAAAATTAGATCAAATTAAAATAAATAAGTTGAACTGAACTAAGCCTTAAGCCTTAGTGAAAAAAGAACATCGATGCTCTTCTTGAAGAAGACCATGAAAGACAATAAGCTTAGATAGATTTGGTAGTTTATTGTGGAAAAGTACCAAATCTTGTCATTCGGTGCAGTGGTAAAGGACACCGAAATAGCATTGACGATGGCAATGGTAGAGTAACTAGGTAAATAAGTGGGAAATCTATGAGTAATGGTGTAAATAAATAAAGTACTTATGTAAAATTTGTCATTTTTTGGAGTACTCTTGTGAACTTTGCCCAATTTATATAGCCACATCCCTATTTTTTCGTATATTTTAAATAAATATTTTACATCTTTTTCGTATGTCCCAAATGCTAACACTTTATCTTTAGAAAAAATATTTCATATGGTTGGAATGAGCGTAAAACTAGGTGTAATCTAAAAATGTTTCACATGGTTGGAGTGGTATAAAAAATGAAGAATCATTATATGGCTGAATCGCATCAATATCCCCCGTGATTTGAAAAATATGCACTAATACACCCTATTTTCAAAATATATTTCTAAAATTCTCGTCATTTCAAAATATTGCATTCATACCCCTTTCGATCATTTTTTGCCAAAGAGAGCTTTGATGCTTATTTTCAAAATCATAGGGTGCACTCATGCTCATTTTTTATTCTTGTTTAATATTTGTTTTTTCCCTTTTTAATTTTTTTTAAAACTCTTTGTATTTATCTCTTTTTTTCCTTTTCTTTATATTTGAAATTTAAAAATAAAAATAAAAAATCAACATATATAAACTCCATCCATCTCAAATTACATTTTCACTTTTTGTTTTGGAGAATAATTATTTTGGTAAGTTCTAAAGAAAATCTAGATAAATAATAAAATATGGAAAAAATAAAATGAAAAAAAATTGAAACATGCAAAAAAGAGTTTAATGCCTAAAATCCCTTAGAATTTGGATGTCCAGAAAAGATATTCTTTTTTATTTTATAAAAATTTTATTTTGGAAAACAAAAACTAAAAGTTATTAATTTGAGACGTAGTATATGTTAAAAAATTCAAGCACTAATAATTTTAAATGTTATGAACATTATAAAAACAATTTTAAAAAGAAATTCAAAAAACCTTGATTAATAAAGGAAACAAATTTAGGAAAAAAGGGGAAAACAAAAAATAAATAAAAAATAAACGCCAATACCCCTTCTTCACTAAAAAAATAGCCAAAGAATTGGGGGACAAGATATGAATGAGTACAATGTTTTAAAAATACAGAGACTTTAGAATATGTTTTGAAAATCGGAGATGAATCGATGTGTATTTTTAAGACTAGAGGATTTAGCCTGTAAAAATAGGTATAGTTCAAAATTATTATGAAAAACTGTAAATGAAGTGAGTGTAAAAAAAACTTAGTTAAAACATTGTTACGAGGCTAAATTAGCATTTAGTACATTCAAAAATAGAACCGGGATTCCGTCAAAGTAAACAGATGTTAAAAATTAAAACGCAATTTCAAGCGCTCAAATCAATGAAAAATGGAGATGCGGGGGATCGAACCCCGTGCCTCTCGCATGCAAAGCGAGCGCTCTACCATTTGAGCCACATCCCCCTTTGCTAGACAATCACACTAACTAACAATAAAACAGATGTTTTTGTAGTTAAATCTGTCAATTGGCCATTATACGAGTAATTTATACGGAGGGATTCATATATTGCTAAAAAGGAATATTGCACATTTGCACCAAATAAGACCCAAACGGCCAAACACATACTCCCTCCATCCCTCTAAGATTTTCTCGTTTTGACTTTTTGTGGTTTTTTAAGAAAAGTTGAAAAAAGGTAAAAATTTACCAAAATACCCTTAATGAAAATGGGTGGGGTGTATTAAATAAGGTGAGAAAAGTGTAATAAATAAAGTAAGTGGGGGTAGTTGTGATATTTTAAATGTTAAAAAAGGTAATGAGAAGATCTATGTGGGACAAATAAAAAGGGCTAATGAGAATATCTATGAGAGACGGAGGGAGTAGTATACTTTGAATAATGTAATAGTCACAAATAATTTCGATATAGGTTAAGAGTTAATAAATATAAAAATAAATTTTTAATAGAGAAGAAAATGGTTTTTTTGGGACGGATGAAAAATAAAAGGGATGATGATTTTGTGAGAAGTAGGGAGTATATAAATTTGTCAATTGTGTACTTCAATTTTTATTTTGTAATTATTTAAAATTATTTTATTCTCTTAAGAAAGTACATAAATGACAAGCTTGTTTAGTTTGTGCATTTCCAAGTTATATGTAACTCTAGCATTAGTGATAAAATTTTCCTAAATCGTACAAAATCAAATTTTGTCCCCTATTTTCATGTAAATTTACCAATGTTTTCCTCCCTCATCTTAACAGCCTCCCTACTTTCGAGTAGGGGCAAGGTGTGCGTACACACACCCTCCCCAGACCCTACTGTTGTGGGATTCACCTGCGTTGTTGTTGTTGTTGTTGTTGTTGTTTTCCTCCCTCATCTTATGCCGTGATGGCAATTTTGTTAAGGATTTTATTTTCTTTAATTAAATAACAAATTAATTACTTGAGTATTTTTTTAGTAGTTCATTTATCGTATCTGTTTGATCTTATGATCTCAACTTCAATTCTTAAGCACATGAGTGAGACTCGAGTATTTAATATAGAAAAGTTTGAACTAATTTTTTTTGCCACTGCACTAACATTTTTTTTCGGTCTCTTATTTCTAGAAAAGCACAACCACTTTGCTCCCAAGCACATTGACCATTAAAGCTTAGAATGCCAATTTACACTTAAAGTTATTTAGTCTTCTGATTTTGCATATGAGAGAGTCACTGTAATATCACTGGACTAATATGAGTTATTACGGAGTATGCTGCATTTATATAATCCCCATGATGTCGAGTCCCGATCAGGGGAGAGGGCGGTGTTTCCCGTTGGGACCGACGTCTCGCTCCCCATACTAAAGCCCGCACCCAACGACCACCCCGTCCGGATTTTGTCAAACTTTGTTAACATTGACTACGATATTCGGAAAAAATATATTACTCCATGTTTGATATAAATATAACATGGTTCTGGTGAGAATGCGATCTTATGAAAGAAATAAGAATGAGTCTAGTGCTTTAGATTGTGAGATCTAAGGGTCAGGATTGCATCAAAATTAGGTGCACCAAAATGGTTTGAAAATGCATCATGTCGAAATGCACCAAAATCCTTTGAAAATGCATTTTCTCAAAATCTGAGCGCATGATGCAATCTAAGCCGCACGATGTATCAGATCCAAAGACTCATTTTTATTCTTATTTCTTTCACCAAGGTGCATTCTCACGTAAACCAGCCCCTAACATCAATAGTTCTCAATTGAAACATAATATTGAAATACTCCGTATATAAATAGAGATATTAATTGCTAAAGCGATGTATATATTAGAGAGGAGAGACTAGAGAGTATACAAAAGTGTCACTTTATTTTAGGGATCAGATAGTATACAAATGAAAGAAAAAATGAAATCACCAAAAATATGATTAAACAATAACTTTTATCCTCAAAATAGGAGTGACATGCCTTTACTTTTTATTTGTCAAAATAGAATCATATTACTGCACTGTGACTTTATATATATTGACGTTCTAGAATATTTTTTGGTATTATATGTTGTTACTTTTTGTATTATTGCTCCCACTTCTTGCCGTTTGTTTTAACTTTTTGTTATAGACCGATAGACGTACCTAACAACATGTTTCTTTCAATATTATTCAATTTTAATATGTTTTTACAAATGAAACGAACAGAGCTGTAATATACTTCATTACTGGTAAATTCTTGTTTTTTGAAGCATGGACATTAATCGCAGGAATGATATTTACATTCCACTTTTTTGTTATTAACATTCCAAAATACACTATATTAATTAATTTCTCACGTATATAGTGCATTTTAGAATTTAGAGTGTGAATAACAAAAAATGGAGTGCAAATATCATTTCTCATTAATCTATCTCACATAAGCAATAAATTAGCATACTAATTATACGGAGTATATATTTAATGTTTTTTTATTCACTAGTGTAATTTGTTTAGGCGAAAATTTTTCACCTGAATCGCTAGCTAGGTCCTTGATAGAAACACTACTATTTGTTACGGTAAAATATACGCAGTAAAAAAAGGTTTCAGACAAATGTGTGAAGCTTGACCGTTGACGTACTCTCTTGCGAATACTCGCTCCTTCCATTTTACTCATAAACGACCCGTTAGAAATTAGCGTTAATGTTTAAAAATGCTATCTGACGGAAGTTTTTAGCATTTGCGTTTTTCAAATTAATAATCTATATCATTAATATTTTATCTAAAACGCTAACGTTAATTGAAAAACACTCTTCCCAAACAAGGCCAAAAAAATGGAATAATTCCACCTTTAGTTTTTTGGGTTTGCTAGGGGTACCCAGATGGTGTACCACGTGGTACACCACCCTTCTCACAGGCACACATAGACGCCCATTATCTGTGTTTCACACAAAAGTGGGTGTCTGTGAAAAGGAAAGTGTACACTTGAAGTACACTACCGGGGATACTCTAGGTTTTTCAATTATTTACTTTTTATGCATTTCAAACATAAAAACTACTTCTACCGCCACCTAAAATATCTAAAACACAACTCATTTATTATGTATTGCGGGTAAAAATTATTTTGAGGATATTTTAGATATTTTAGATGAGATAGAAATATTCTTTTAGAATGTACAAAAAAAATAAAGATTAAACTATTTTAAAAAATAAAGGGTAGACTTAATTTTTGTTTTTCTTCACCGAAGTTCAATGGGTAATAATTAAAACCCCCACCTTGATAAAATGCCCTAATGATTCCCCTGATTAAGGAGACTTATGAAGACTTGTGAAAGTTAGAAAATACATGTACCGTTTCTTTCGCAATTTCTTGACTATTTAGGCACATAACAGAACGAAAAGCTAGCCTAAATTTTAAAAATTCTAATTCAAATAAAAAGTTGAGTTTAAAATGTCAAATAAGGTTTTCAAGTGATTTGTTACCACTTCATCCGTACTAAAAAATGTTTTTTATTTATATTAAAAAGTCACTTTTATTGCTACTAATTCTTAACTTACCCATCAGACCACACTTATTCACTATTAATTGATTCATCAAATCCTATTTTTCCTATTACATCCAATGATATATTTGGAAACTCATCACCAAGATAAGGGAGCATTTCGAGCCCCTTCGAGCTCCAAGAAAGATTGAGAGATTTAGAAGGAAGAATTTGAAATTGAAAAGAGAAGAAGATGAGAGGAAGGATGGAGAAGATGCGGATCCGCAAGGGGGAGAGACGAAGGAGAAATATAATAGGTTAAGGGAAAACGTATTATCTTCATCCATTGATTAATAATTCATAGAAATGGATACATTTATAGCTAGCACAACTAAAGAATCCTTATCATAGAAGGAAATTAAATCAACTAGGAATTCTAATTATAAATTGTAACAAGTATCCTAACAAAAAATACTACTCCTTCCATTTGGAAAAACACTTCCCATTTTGATTTGTGGCAAAAATAAGGAAGTGTTAAATTATAGTTGATTTCCAATTTTGCCCCTGATGTGATGGGTAAAAGTAAGATGTGATGGATAGATTATTAGAGAAAAAGTATGATGTGATAGGTAGGGTATGAAAAAGTAAGGGTAAAAGTGGTTTTTTAATAGAAAAGGTGAGTATTTTGTTGGAAGTCGAAAAATGAAAGAGGAAGTGTTTTTGAGAACGGAGGGAGTACTTTCTAATAATAATATGGAGTAATTAACGAACTATAAGTAATGATACTACCTAATACTCCGTATAATACTCCCTCCGTTCCATAAAATCCTTCCTCTTTCATTTTTTTCCAATTCCTTAAAACACTTCCATTTTCTATTAAAAAACCACTTTTACACCTACTTTTTCATACCCTACCTACCACGTCATACTTTTTTACTAATAACCAAACTATCACATCTCACTTTTATCCATCACATCAGGGCAAAATTGGAAAGTCAACCAAAATCACACTTTCTTTAATTATTTTGGCCCAAAGTCAAAATAGGAATGATTTTAAGGAACGGAGGGAGTAATAATTACTAACCATTAATAATAGTAATAGTAATAATAATAATAATACTGATAAATATACTAGTATCATTTGTGTAGCTATGTCCAAATTATTTGTGACTCTAGCATTACTCTATGATGTTTGTAGGCTATCTCTAATATATTCTAGTCAATTTATCAAAATGTCTTTATTGAATATTCAATATGCTTGGAGTTTTGGACAAATGATTCAGACAAGTGAAAAAAGAAAATGTATGACTAAATTTAGACTGAGGGAATATATTTATGAATTATGACATTTTCTTTTTTGAAAAATAAAAAACACATACCTTCACTAGCTAGCTATATATAGTGCCAACATATTTGCTAATTAATGACCATACCATCTAACTTGAGGGTTCAGCACTTAACTAATAGATCGTTTATTTTAGCTAAACCTCTCCCACAAAATGAAGGCCATTCCCATACTCTCTAATGCTACACTACTCTTCTTCCTCCTCTTCTTCTTCTTCTTTGAATCTTTAGAGGCTCAGCTAAGCGAGACATATTACTCAACGTCATGCCCTAGTGTGCTCAACATCGTAAGCGCTGGGGTTAAGAGGGCCATGGATGCCGATAAACGAATGCCCGCCAGTCTCATTCGTCTCCATTTCCACGACTGCGTCGTCCACGTAAGATCTTGGGCTTAACCACATACACAAATGCGTACATATTTATCCTGATATAATAGAGAAAAATTAGAGAAAAAGTAAGGATATAATAGTACATTCATTAAAAGTTTTCTTTTGTCAAAATACGAAACGAGAAAGAAATTTCTAGACAATCCAAAAAGGAAAGTGAGAATAAATTAATTGACGAGGGAAAGTATATTTTTCTAGGCCTTCAACTACATGTTTGATCAAGTTTAATTTAACAATATAGCTAGTACTCCAAATAATAGAATTGGAATTATGTTTTCATTGATTTAATTAGCTATGGACGTGTACGTGTTTTTGCATGCATGCAGGGATGCGATGCCTCGATTTTGTTGGACGACCAGGTTAAAAATGGGAAGAATATTTCGAGTGAGAAAACAGCGCTCCCTAACCTCAACTCCGCCAGGGGGTTCGAGGTGGTGGACAAAATCAAGTCCGACATCGAGGCCGCTTGTCCCGGTGTTGTCTCTTGTGCCGATATTCTCGCACTTATCTCCGAGGCCGCCGTTACTCTGGTATTTTAGTTAATTTTTACTCTAGTTATTTTGACCGTCGTGGCATTGTTTAATTTCTTGATACATTGAAAAAATGAATGAATCTGTATTTAAAAAAACAAACAGTCTGGCGGTCCGTCATGGAAGGTCATGTTGGGGAGAAAGGACAGTAGAGAAGCGTACAAGAGAGATGCAGACGAACTCCGAACGGTCTTTAGCAGCTTGAAAATAATCGCTGATAAGTTCGCAAAAATTGGATTGGAGACTGCCGATCTAGTGGCATTGTCGGGCGGGCACACGATAGGAAGAGCGCAATGTGGCGTGTTCCTCAACAGATTATACAACTTCAACAACACGGGCAAACCCGACCCGGAGATGGACCCCGCGTTCTTAGCCGACTTGAAGAAAAATTGTCCAAACGTGCCCGGGGCATCGTCCCATTTGAACAACCTTGACACGACAACCCCAGACGCTTTCGACAACAACTATTTCAAAAACTTGAAAAACAAGAAAGGGCTTCTCGCGACCGACCAAGGGCTGTTTTCGTCATTGGTGCCGGGGACAGCTGATCTGGTCTCCCAGTTCGCTTTGGACCAAAACTCGTTCTTTGAAGCCTTTGGTAAAGCCATGATCAAAATGGGAAATTTTGGCGTTTTGGACGAAAGCCAAGGAGTGATCAGGAAAAACTGCAGGCTAGTTAATTAACTGATATACTCCTTACTCACATGATAAGTATTCCTGTAGTGTTATTTTTTTAAAAAATCGAATTCGTTGAAATTAAATTTGGTCAACCAATTAACTTGATTGTCGAATTTGTTTTCTTCGGTTTGACTTACAAAAATCAAACCGAACATTATGCGACTTTAATTACTTTTGTTGTTGGTTTCCCTTCCAGTGATTTTGTCATTCAATAAGTCTTGCATAATACGTTGTTTAATACTGTACTTCGTATGGTGGTATGATGTATGGTTACTTAAATAGCACTAAAACATTATGATTTTCTCTAAATATTATTATATGTATTTTTTTCTAATGTAGCACTTTTAGTCATTATCCATTAGTCATTATTCAAGTAAATGTTTGCTATTACAGGTCATTATAGACATTATTAAGTGTTATTTAGGGAATAAAAAAATTTACGTGCTATTTAGAGAAATGACTTAAGTTTTAGTGTTATTTAGTACAAATATTTCTTATAAAAAACATATTAAAATGGTATTTGATGAAACTGCAAGGTGCTATGACACTGTCATCCTATTTGAACAGATGACACTCGTCTATATCAGATACTTCCGGTGCTCCATTTCTAAAATTGATAGTTTCTACCCCTAACTCACCCTACCCCCACCCCAATCCAACCCCCGTACACCTACCCTAGACGCCCCTTTTACCCCTCCAAATGAAAACACTCACTCATATCCAATACTTTGGACAGTTGGACTCCTATCAATTTTCATTTGCTGCATCACTCGTTAGCAGTGTTATTAAACCCGGGCCGGACCGGGCGGTCCGACCGGTCGCACCGCGACCCGGACACACAACCGATCGTGTCCAACCCCCCAAAAACCCGAAAAAACTCGAAAAAAACTACATCGACCCGGAAAAACTCGGATTGATCTGGGACCCGTCCTCCCGCCGGGTCGACCTCCGGTCCGGGTTTAAAATCATTGCTCGTAAGTTGATGGATGTTGATATTTGTTATGTTTAATACTTTGATATGATGATTCAAAATATATTCTAACTAATTTGATACCTGTGTTACATAAAACTTTTTAACTTTGAAAAAAATGGAATTTAAAAATGTACTCTCTCCGTCCCGCAAAAAAGTTCTCGTTTTGACTCTTTGAGGATTTAAGGGAGTGTATTTTGGTGTTGACTTTCCGAAAATTCCATTTGATGTGATGGATAAAGTAGGATGGGATGGATAGATTAATAGAAAAAAAGTTTGAAGTGATAGGTAGGTTAAGAATTAGTACGGGTAAAAGTGACTATTTAAAAGAAAGAAAAAAGTATTTTTTGGGACGGATGAAAAAAGAAAGGGGAACTTTTTTGCGGGACGGAGGGAGTATAATTTTGGTGAAACTTTCTTGACGATTTTAACATTACTTTATACTCCCTCTCGTCCCATAAATCTAGTTCCACAATCCCAATTACCATATTGCTCTTTTAAGAATTTTTAGTTTCTTCGCACGTTTTTATTATTGATCATTTGATAACATAAAATGTTGTTGTCACATCTTATTTTGTAAAAGTCTTGATGTAGTTTTGAATGGTACGATCTGTACTTTTATTTCTATACGAATTAGTAAATAAAATCAATATAAAACAATACAATTTCGCACGTTATTTCTGTATCAAACAACATGCCAAATCCTAACTCTTTAGGGAGAAAGACCAAAGTAGGACGACTAAAAATTGAATATATACCAAAATAGGATTTCAGTGTTTTTATTCTCGAAATATGACTTATTTTACCAAATATGGTCATGTACATTACCAAAAAATATAATAATGTGCACAAGTACAGTGCCACATTACAATCACATTACCACATTTTGAAATCCTATTTTGGAAAAAAAATATCAAAGTCCTATTTTGATACTTTTCTCTATATTTTAATCATATTTAGGGTGATTCCTAAACTTTTAAGAATGATTTCATTTTTAAATTAGTATAAAAATAAAACAAAGACTTGTGTATTTTAAAAAGCTACAACAAATATTCAATTATTGTAAACAACATATTTTATTTATCAAATGATCAATAAAACAATCGCAAATAAAAGTTATGGAAAGATTCAAATAATAAAGAAGATAATTCAATTGATTTGGGGCTGAGAGAATAACATGTTTTGTCCAAAAGGGTTTTGTGTTATGTTTGTATTTAGTCATTAGTTACATATACACATACTTCATTGGTCTAAGGCAGCCAACCAGTATGGGGCATGAAGAGAGGCATTCCTATCCTCCTTCACGCCCCTCCCATACCGGCTACCCTCACAGGCATCACCCCTCAGGTGACCGACATCACGACGTAACCGCTCCATCTTTCCTTTTTCATATTTTTATGTGACACGTAATTAAAATCTAGTACATACACACTCATCTCAATCAATCAAAACAATTCACACATTCACTTTATCGATCACTTGTGATCAAGTCCCCATACCACACATAATTTTTTTCACGAATTGATCCGTTTGTATGACGCTTTGGGCACTGGTAATGCCCGTAACGCCAACCGGCGTGAGGGGGCGTGAAACACCGCTCCCCTGCGGCGTTACCCGGGCGTCGTTCCCACTCCGTCATTCGTTTGACGCGCAGCAATTCCCCCATTTAGCCGTTACCCTCCTCCCAAATTAAAAAAAATCAAAATTTAAAAAAAAACATATAAATTCCCCTAAAAAAATCATTCTCTCACACATCTCTCTATCTTCTCTCTAAAATATTTATTATTTATTATAAATATTTATAAAATATATTTTAAAAATGGGATCATCTTCATCCGACGATGAAAAAAGAGCTCTCTTTTTTCGTTGTTTCGCCACGAGTTGTATTCAATGGTGGGAAGAAGGCCAAGAAGAAGATGCCGAATCCTCCTTACGACAGACCCGACGACAACGTTTAAACCAGGATCAAACATATCTTTAGTCGCTCGAATAATTAGTGATTTCTTTGTAGTGTTGTTTTTTTATGTAATATTTTTTTAATGAATGTAATTTTTTATGAATGTATTTTTTATGAATGTAATTTTTTTATGGATGTTTTTTTATGAATGTCATATTTTTTTAATGAAGGTAATTTTTTTAATGCACTAGTCTCATTGTGATTAATTCAAGTAATAAATTAATTACATTTTATTAATTTAATTTTAGAAGATGTATATTTAAAAATGTAAAAAATAAAGGTTTGAAGCCCCAGTTTGAAGCCCCGGGGCTTCAAACCCATTTCCAGTGAATTTTGGGTGTAAGTTAAAGCTGACGTGGCAGAGAGAGAAAATTTGAAGACACGGGGCTTCAAACGTATTTTCAGTGCTCTTACATGCATGACACCTAATATATGGAGGGTTTTAGTGATAATTGTATACTCCCTACATCCTTAAATAGATCTCACATTTGCATTCTCAGTAGTCGCATGAACTTTTGTTTATATCTACGCTTTCATTGGTTATTCGATAAAATAAAATATTCTTTACACCTCTTATTTTGAAGAACTGTTCATGTAGTTTTTTGATATGTAAATTTTATTTTTTATTTCTATACCAATATGTAAATAAAATGAATTGAAAAAACTTGATATTTTACTTCGATAAGAAAATGCGAGATATATTTAGGGACGGATGAAGTATATTCTCAGTGGCAGAGCCACATTGGAATAAATGACTGCAATTGCAGTCACTCCACGTTGTAAATCATTGTTTATACAACATCGGTCCCTCAGTATTTGTCCAGTTTTAAGTTTTTTCAGTCAATTATTTTTAACCTTTAACCTATAATTATATAAAATATTTTTTTTTATGAATTAGATAAAATAATATTTTGAAAGTATTTGATATACAGAGTAATAAATAAAATAAACTTATTTTTATACCAGTATCTAATATAAATTTTATTTAATTTGAGGTCAAAATTTATCAATTTTGACCAAAAAAGTAAAAAAGTAAACAAATACTCAGAGATTGAGGAAATATTAAAGTTCAACATTTCAGAACATCAAAATAAAATGGATTGATAATTGTGTTAAATATGAAAACATTTATCTAGATATGAAAAACATACAAAGAAAAAAGTGATTATTGTACTCCGCAATTAAGGGACACGCCGAGGGAACTTATCTTATCTTAGGATCCATGTTTGCCGGCGTCTAAAGTCTCTTTAAAATTATAGCTAGAAAAACAAATTGACCATGACATTGTCTGGCAATGTCATGAGATGACCTGGAGAGTTAAAATTTGACTTTAGAGTCAAAATTAACTTGTGCAGTGTAATTGAAGGGGGTGGGGGTGTGTTCAGTCAGGGCGGGTGGAAGGTTTACCGGGGGATTAGATGGGGTAGAAACAGTAAATTTTACAAACGGAGCACCGGAGTATCTCTGAATCATCCCATGACATTGCCCGAACCTTGCCCAATTCACCAAAGTAAACGTGACTCCCCCACATACACTCAACAAAGTGATGGCGAATTTTAAAAGAGTTATTGATGACGAAAAAAATTCCTTGGTCAACTACTTCGTGTAAAAAATTCATTGGTCAAGTATTAACTAAAGGAAGTTAAACTATAATAATTATTTATAGACTATATATATTTCTCCCAAGCTAAACTATAATTATAAATTGTATATCTCCCATTCACTTGAAATGTACTTCGTCCATCTCAAAATTAAAGTCATACCCCATAGTACTTACTATTTACATGTTTTTTGCAAAAGTTTTAATTGATAATTTGACCAATAATTAAATAATACAGTTTATATATAGTACACCATTCGTCCAACTTGAATCTTTATATACATTATTCACATGGTCAATCTTTATTAATTTTGTTTTCTTATTTTTGTTACTCAATAATTTATAAAATAAAATAAGAGTAAATTCCATAATTGACCCTTTATAACAAGAAGGTTTTCATATTTAGTCCTCTATTATCAAATATTACCATTGTAGTCCTTTTATTAAGAGTGCTCCACAAATGGTCCTTTTTTTGCATCTTTTGCCATGTGGGTGTTAATTTAAAGGCTAAAAGTATAATTTGACATCAACATTATGTCTAGTGACATGTTCTGATATTGGTTAAACGGATAACATAAAGATAATGACTATGATTGTGGGCTAGGATTCCGACGGAAGACCACATTTGTAGACTACGGTTGTAGTAGAAAGCGAATGTAATTTACAAACGAAGCAAATAGAACAATCTTTGGAATTGTGTATGACAAAAAAGATATATTATCATTGTGAAATTACACTTTTACCCATCAAATTAACTCAACATGATAGAAGATCAAAAAAGAACTATTTGTGGAAAGATACTCATAAAAAAAAGACCACTGAGGTAATATTTGATAAAAGATGACTAAATAGGGAAACTCCCCTGTTATAAAGGACCAATTATGGAATTTACTCATAAAAGAATCATGTCACATCTAGCTTTCTACATCTTTTGATGTAATTTTCAAATATATACACTCTCCGTCCCAGTGTATTAGTTCAGTTTGACTTTTTTGAATCAAACTGGATAAACTTTGAGCTTCAATTAAATAAAAATCGTAATGTATTTTGACATAAAAATGACTTTATTGGATTTATCGTATTGAGAACTTTCAAAATTGTATTTCATTATGCTAATATACAATATAAATTGAGAGTAATTAGAGTTCAAAGTTTGTACAGTTTGAGTTGAAAAAGTCAAACTGGACAAAAACACTAGGACGGAAGTAGTAATTTTTATTTTTTAATTTTGCACCTACATTCAAATATATTAAATTAAAAATAAAGTTGGTCAAGCTTTGTAACATGAACCGAAAGGATTCAAATGAGACGGAGGGAGTAATATACTTTTAATTTTTGGACGGAGATTATATACTCTCTCCGTCCCGCAAAAAACTTTCTTTAATTGAAATAAGTCTCCTTAATCCGCGGAAACAAATTAATAGAGGGTTTTACGCGTAGAATTCAGAATATTTACTTTTTTTAGTTTCTCCACAAATTTTCAAAGCGTAAAACCCTCTAGTAAATTATTCCCGCGGACTAAGGAGGTTTATTTCAGAATCACGAAGACTGAAAAAAGAGAAAATGCACCTACCTGGGTTTTTCGCATTATTGACTGCTTCGTAATTTAATCATTACTATCAAAAATTATTGGTGGGCGGAATGACTACTCCTTCCGTCTCTGAGTATTTGCCTCATTTTATTCCCGAGGCAAAATATCAAGTTTTTTTAATTTATTTTATTTACATATTGGTATAGAAATAAAAAATAAAATTTACATATTAAAAAATTACATGAAAAATTCTTCAAAATAAGAGGTGTCAATAATATTTTATTTTATCAAATAACCAATGAAAACGTAGAAATAAACAAAAGTTCCCGCGACTGCGGAAAAAACAAATGTTGTGAATATTTTGGGACGGAGGGAATATTATTCTGCACAGAATCAAACATGGTAGTGAATGCAAAAATGAGTTTTCAAATGATTTTAGTACGGAGTATCTAATATAACAAAATTATATTATAGTAATCATTTAATTATATCTTTTAAGTTTGTTATTGGTATTTTTTTAAAAAAAATAATTTTAGTTTTTTTCTTTGACGATGAGACTTTAATCTTGATCTTTTAAATTACTCAGAACTTTACCATTATAAAGTTGACAAAAAAATTTACTCCGGGTTAATTACTAAACAATACATTTTGTTGGGATAATGGCCTTCCACATATATGCAATTTAACATACTCATAACATTACGGATCACCGACCCAAGGAGACTAGGTAGGGTGCTGATCAGACATACCCAATAAGGTTGTAAGTGAATTGAATATTTTTTGTTCGATTCGTGATTCGTATTCGTATGAGCTAATTCATATTCGATTATTTCAAATGCAAATAAGAATACCAATATGAATAAATATTCGAATCCTTATCGAATACGAATATGAATCAAGAGTATTCGATTCGTGAGTTTGACAAATATATTCGGAATATAAATTTAATTATACAAATTATATATATATATATATATATATATATATATATATATATATATATATATATATATATCAAATGGTTATAAAATATTTTAAAATATAAATGAATCGAATATTTTTAAACGAATCGAACATGTTTAATATATTAAACGAACGGAATATGAATCTTAAAAAATATTCGAACCGGATTTGAATTCAAATTTGAATATCGCTTCATCTTAACGAATACGAATATTTTTCATGAATATTCGATTCGATTCGGTTCGTTTACAACTCTAATACCCACTTGGAGACCTATTCAAAGGCATATTAGGGTTTCCTATACTAACTCTAATAAACTTAGTATAAGAATGTGTTTGGTCGGGAGAAAAATACTTTTTAAATTTTTTTATTCAATTTTTCCAATAACATAAGTAATCGGAAAATATTTTCTATGAAAAATACTTTCGAAAGAAAACTTCTACACGGACACCTTGCCCTCACCTCCAGTGGCGGACCCAGGAATTTCGGTGAGTGGGTTCACATTTTGTGCACAAAAAGAAAATGTTGATATTTGTATAGCAATAAATTTAAAACAAGGTAAAAAAGTATCAATAAATAGCATTCTGAGATAAATATTGCAAGTTGTATGTAATATTTTTGAAATACTATATAATAAATATAATACGTTCATTGCTTTAACCAAAAAAGAAAAAAAAACTAAACAACTAAAATATTAATTCTAGAAATTTCTTCAAATACTAAGTATATTTTAGGAATCTTTTTAAAACAATTAAACTTGTTCATACATTTCAAAAAAATTGAACATTTTATAATTAAGTTTCGTAATTAAAGTTAAATCAATTTTCCAAATCTAAAAGAATTAAAACATAAAATTCTACACAATTATAAAAGGTGTTCTCTGTTCCATTTTCAAAAAAATAGCACCTNGGATGCCCTTAATCTACATATAATAGCTAATTACATACTACTACTAATAAATAATTTTTTTTGGAGTGGGTGCAATTGAACTCACTTGCACAACCGTAGGTCCGCCCATGCTCACCTCCATCCGCCACACCCATACTCCCAACCTCCCATCCCCGCCCCAACCCCTACCAACCGAATAGAACCTATATCCAAAAGATACCCGAGCTAAAAAGACCCGAACTAGAATTAAACTGATTTAATTTCTTTCACAAATTCTTGACTAATTAGTTCACTTATTAGTAAAACACAAAGTCAAATTATTATTCACGCCTTTCCATTTCTTCACCGCGTACAAATTATTATCCCTTTCCACTTCTTCTTTCTCTCAGTATCTGAAAACATAAGATGTTTTGATTTTTATGAGATTTTAGGAGAATGTATTTTGCTGTTCGGTTTTCAAAAAGATCTTAGATGTGATAGATAAAATTAAGATTTGATGGATAAATTAATAGTGAATAGATATGATGTGATATGTATGTTAAAATCGAATTAATAAGGATAAAAGTAACTCTTTAATGGAAATGAGAAAAAAAAAGTTTGGAATGAATGAAAATAGAAAATAGAAATATTTTCAAAAGAGAGGGGAGTATATTTTTTACTCCACTCGCTATATATAGTACCTACATATGTAATCACTATCCAACTCGAGTGACGCAAATTATTAACATATAACTGCACAATTAATAGATCGTTTAGCAAATTAAAACCTCTCCCTCAAAATGAAGGCTATTCCCATGCTTTCTATAGCTACACTCTTCTTCTTATTCATCATCTTCTTCTTCTCGGGGTCTGCAGACGCTCAGCTAAGTGAGACGTTTTACTCAAACACATGCTCCAATGTGTCTGCAATTGTGAGTAGCGTGATTCGGCAGGCGTCCCAGAACGATCCCCGCATCGGCGCCAGCCTCATTCGTCTCCATTTCCACGACTGCTTCGTCAATGTAAGATCTCAATTTTAAATCTCAGTTTTAAGTTTGACTCGAGTTATATTTTAAGAAATATTTGCATTAAATAACACTAAAATTTATGCCATTTTTCTAAATAACACTTAAATTATGTTATTCTCTAAATAACACTAAATCATATCCATAATGTCTACTGATGGCGAACATTTACTTAAATAATTACTAATGTATAATGACTAAAAGTGCTACATTGGGAAAAAACGCATATGGTGCTATTTAGGGAAAATAACTATGTTTTAATGCTATTTAGGTAAATTCCTCATATTTCAAACCCAAAAAGTTAGGTTTGAGTCAAATTCCTCTAATTTCCATCAAAATAAAATTACAAATTCATAAAATCCTCTGTTCCTTGTCATTTGAATTCCCATTCTCGTATTTATGAACTGAAATCTAAGGGGGGTGTATTCAACTTAGATTTTAAAAGATTGTATTAGATTTTTATAATCAATGGATTTGTGTAGATTTTAAAAACTAAATAGATTTTAATGTATTTCATTACAAGATTTGTGTAGATTCTAAAAAGTTTATAGATTGTTGAATTGTTATATGAATCAACTGGCCTTCCACCTCTCGGCCCTCCAATACCTTCCTCTGGTGCCTTACAACATAATGGACTTATGCAAGTGTGAAACACGGCTAGAAAATGAGCAAGGATTGATTTTGGAAAAACAAAAAAAAAGAAAAAAAATTCCTGTAAATTGCAGTCTGCAGATGTCGATGGTAAACAAAAACAAAAAGACAAAAAATTGTAAAAAACAAAAAAAAAAACTTTTGAGTGCTGCAATCAGCATCACACGCCCATACCAATTGCCATAACCTAAACACAAGCCACGGTAGGAGCCCAACTCCCCCAAATCGTCGTTATTGATAATATGAACATGACCCTGATATTTACTTGCAATTAAAAGATCTTGCCGAAATCAACTAGTCTTATTGCAAGTGAAATTTACACTAAATAGGACTAAAACATAATGACTTTCCTAATGTAGGACTTAAACTTTTTTATTCTCGAAATAAGACTTAATAATGACCTCGTGGGAGGAATAATGTCCAGTAATGCTAGACATTTACTTGAATAATGACTACTTGTTAATGACCAAAAGTCTTACACTGGAAAATAAAAACATATGGTCCTATATAGGGAAAGTCGTTATGTTTTAGTCCTATTTAGATAAATTTCTCGACATCAAAATTTTTAGCTATATGATGAGATTTCAACCAAGGTTCTTATTTATATCAAATGCCCTGAAATCCATCAGAATCCGTACTCCATGAATTTTTTTTAAAAATCCATCACTTTTTCAATACCAGTAAATTTAAATGGATTATTTAAAATCTGAATTGAATACAACAAGATTTTAAATGATTTTTTAAAATCCGTGTTGAATACCCATAGATTTTTAAAATCTAAAAAAATTCAGTACAATCCCAAATGAATACACCCTCTTTTAAATTATGGGAAAAATTTTTGGGACGGAGAGAGTATAAATAAATCCGCTTATCAATTATGGAACGTCCATGTGTTTGCATGCATGCAGGGATGCGACGCCTCAATTTTGTTGGACAACAATGGAACGGCGATTGTGAGCGAGAAAGGCGCTGCCCCCAACATTAACTCCGCTAGGGGTTTCGACGTGGTGGACAACATCAAGTCCGCCGTCGAAGCCGCCTGCCCCGGCGTCGTCTCGTGCGCCGATATTCTCGCTCTTGCCTCCCAAGCTGCCGTCAATCTGGTAACAGTTTTATTTTACTTTGGACCTGTTTGGGAATAGCGTTAGAGATTAGAGTCAGCGTTTTGGATAAAATTTTAATGATGCAGATTACTTTGAAAATGCTAACGCTAAATGCTGCCCGTAGATAGCCTTTTCAAAACGCTAACGCTAATCTCGTTGTTTCCAAATAGATCCTTTCTCTCTCATTACCTAAAAAAGCTTTTTTGACTTTCACAAAATTTAGAAAAAAGTGTTTAAAAGAGCATGACCGTTTATCTATTTACATACAAAATACTTCGAAAACAGGCCGGTGGTCCTTCGTGGAATGCCATGTTGGGAAGAAGAGACGGTAGAAATGCAAATCAGTCGTTAGCAAACGCTTCAATTCCTGCTCCAACTGAAGGCTTGACAAGCATCATTCAGAAGTTCACAAACGTCGGACTGAACAGCACCGATGTTGTCGCACTGTCGGGCGCGCACACGTTTGGGCGCGCCCGGTGTGCCACGTTCAGCAACAGACTATTCAACTTCAACAACACGGGCCAAGCCGACCCCACACTCAACGCAACATACTTAGCCACTTTGCAGCAGGCTTGTCCCCAAAATGGGTCGGGGTCGTCTAATCCGAACAACCTTGACCCGACAACCCCTGACGGGTTCGACAACAACTATTTCTCAAACTTGCAGAACAACAGTGGGCTTCTCCAATCTGATCAGGAGCTGTTTTCGACATCCGTTGCGACAACCGTTGACCTGGTCAATGCATTCGCTTCAAACCAAGAAACGTTCTTTCAGAACTTTATTCAGTCCATGATCAAAATGGGAAATATTGGCATTTTGACCGGAACTGAAGGAGAGATTAGGAAAAACTGCAGTCTCCGAAATTAATACATGTACGCGTTTGACTTTTTTCTTTCGAATTGAATGACATTTGATCATTAATTGAATAAATATCATAAAAGAATGAAATAATCGTTTGGCAGTTTTTTGCCATATAAATCTAATAAGGTTATTACTTTCTATACTCCCCGTCCACAAATAAACTTTACGGGTCACATGGTCAAACTTTATTCACTTTGTTGGCCTATTTTCGTCACCCATTTGATAAAATAATATAGTCATGTCACCTCTAGTTTTGTAGATCTTTTGATATACTCCCTCCGTTCCACAAAACCCTTCCGATTTTGACTTTAGGGAAAAATAAGAAAAGTGTAATTTTGGTTGACTTTCCAATTTTGCCCCTGATGTGATGGGAAAAAGTAAGATGATATAGTTTGGTTATTAGTGAAAAAGTATCATGTGATAGGTAGGGTATGAAAAAGTATGGGTAAAAGTGGTTTTTTAATAGAAAGTGGAAGTGTTTTGTGGAAAGCAAAAAAAATAAAAGAGGAAGGGTTTTGTGGAACGGAGGGAGTAGTTTTTTAATATGTAATTTTTATTTTTCAATTATACACCATTTTTCATATAAAATGATTTGAAAATAACTTCAGCCAAACATCATAACGCGCAATGTAAAGTTTATTTGTGGACGGAGAGAGTATTAATATGCAACATAATTCGCATGCAAGAATTACCTAAGGTCTAAAGCATACAGACTATTTTATATGAGCAATGCTAGGGGTACACCAAAAGTGTACCCCATTTGTACACCACACCCTTCTCCACCACTCATTTTTAATTAATTTTTATTTATCTATCTTTTTTAAATTTTCTTGCCCAATTATGTGGACAAGGAGAGGGTGGGGGACAAATGGAGTACACCTTTGGTGCACCCCTAGCATTTTTCATTTTATATATACAGAGTATCAAATTAGGACATTCCGTAACTTTCTACCGAGCATTGAAACATGACTAATAGTTTTAGAACATAATGCCAAAAAATACGCCATTTTAGTCCTTGTTCTTTTGTGTTAGAAACATTAACTTCCAACTTATTTTAGTTTTTTCAAGTCTTTCCAATTCTTTTCAGTTTCTTCCAAAAATGACTTAAAAAATGTATTTATATGTGATTAATATATAATACCATTATATATCTTAATTCATATATAACATATCACCTCAAACACAACAAGGATGTATTCTTTTTATCCAAAAAATAAAATTTTCTAACATATTTATTTGGACGGTAACTTAATTGAATGATTTTTTAATACTTTAATCTTTCCAATATTGTTCAACTCTTTCCAGTTTACTCTAATAACTCATTCCAGTTTCTTGCAACATCTAATTCTAAAATTCTAATCCGAAAAAAACAGGGTGCTAGAGAAATAACAATGATAATATATAATCACAAATTGTATATGAAACTTATTAATTCTGATCTTCAATTGAGATCTCCTCCCTCGTTTGAGCCTTCGAGGTAGGTTCATTAATATAAGGAATTCTGTCCCTGATCGATCGTGTGTGCCAGTGGATTGAGAACATCACGGGAAAATCGGCTCAATTAACCCATTATTCTTCCATCCTAATTTTCTAATACAAAACTTTTAACCGATTATATCCTAGTTAAGCAAATACCTCTATGTTTCTCTAGTCCATTTCAAGTAGATGGACCTTGCTATTATGAACTCCATGGTATTAGTATTAGTATTCATAATAGTATTAGTGTTAGTATTAGTATTATTATAAATATTACTCCGTACTTTTACTATTAGTATTAGTTTTAGGTTTAGTACTAGCATTAGCATTAGTATTAGTATTAGCATTAGCATTAGCATTAGCATTAGCATTAGCATTAGTATTAGTATTAGTATTAGTATTAGTATTAGCATTAGTGTTGGGAAAATCACCTCAATTTTCTAGCGGAAGCAATTAATAATTTTCCCGTCTTTGTGTTGTCAAAATGGGCAAAATCATATGACCGATCAAGAATAGTAAACACGTCAACAAGCAATCAATCAAACGATAAACGAACACCAAGATTTAACGTGGAAACCCCAAATCGGGGAAAAAACCACGAAGCCTTCCACTAATCACCAAGAAAATCAGTGGGTACACCAAGAATCTTCTCTAAATCAATTAGAGGTACACACAATCATCAAGTAATAACTTGGAACACCAAACAACAATAATCTTCACTAAAGAGTGAGAAATCCCCAATAAAAACGCAGCAGTAAACAGAGGCAGTTTTACCGACATCGAGAGGTCAAAATAACAATCCCACCGTTGGATATGAAGAAGGGGATCTCAGGAACAACATACTAAAATTTCATCTCGATCGGAGTTCGTTTGGTCGTCGATCGGAGCACAAAACTGGTATTAGTATTAGTATTCATAATAGTATTAGTGTTAGTATTAGTATTATTATAAATATTACTTATACTATTAGTATTAGTTTTAGGTTTAGTACTAGCATTAGCATTAGTATTAGTATTAGCATTAGCATTAGCATTAGCATTAGCATTAGCATTAGCATTAGCATTAGCATTAGCATTAGCATTAGCATTAGCATTAGCATTAGCATTAGCATTAGCATTAGCATTAGTATTAGTATTAGCATTAGTATTAGCATTAGTATTAGTAAAAGTATTAGTATGGATTCCAGTGTCAACAGAACCTTGCTGTATTTGTATTAGTATTAGAAGATTAGAATTAGGGTTAGGAGATTATGATTAGGATTACATTATTATGATTACTATTAGGCATATTAGCTTGAGTGAAGTAGGCCTTTTTCCACATTGGCTTCTAAGCCTATATCAACTTTTGTGAGACACCATGAGCCTTGGGTATACAGAATCACCTCCAAATCTTAAATTTGATTCCAATTTCGGTTGTCATCGGTCCCCCTCCAACCACTTATGTGCCTACTAAACTGGGTTTATTAATTAGTCATCAGGCATTTAGACCCAATATCCATCAACGAGCACACAATGTCAAATTTTTAATGTTTCACATCGACAATACTCGTATTTAACTATGAGATAAAAAAAATATTTTAAAAAAAAACTTAATTTAGCATGGGTTTCATGTTTCAGTTTATTCAGCAAGACTTTATGGCATTTTAATTTTATTTTATTTTTTTTGGAACAAAGTGCAATCTTTATTAGGAGATCATATAAATATACACAAACCACTGCACAAAAGCAATTCACTAGAGCTAACTACATACAAAGAAAAACAATGACTACTTCCTCTTCATTTTTAGACTAACAAAAATGCCAAAATAATATTTGATATATAACCAATACTTTCACCAACTGGGATCAATCTATTGCCATGGACCTTATTATTTCTTACCTTCCAAATAGTTAGTGTAGTAAAAAAGGCAGCAAACAAAACAGATTTTACTCTGATTTCTGCCTCACTAGTGCTCTTCATCACTATATCCAATACTTCCTCTTATCATTGAGCTTTGATATCTACCATAGCTTGACCAATTAGATACATTTGCTCATAATCATGGATGAATAAGAACAAGTGCAGAAGGATGGTCAATGTCTTCCTCTGGTCCTTCACACAATGAGAAACAAGTATCAATGTGAACAAATTAACTCAACTTGCATTTTGGTTACCAGTCTTCCTCACTAGATAATTAACCTGTTGATGAATAGGTGCTTAAAATTTGACCAATTGTTCCACACCAGACTAACCCATCTGAGATGTTATACTGATTGGCAGCATGCATGCATCACCTTAAACACCTCTCTCACTCTCAACATCTTCTTCCAATAGTAACGGTAATCGTTTTTAGCTTCAAACTCCAAATGTCCTTGCCTCTGAGGCATCTACTTTGTATCCACTTTACCTACAACACATCTTTTTTATTGGCAATGTCCACCAACAGTTTCACTACATTAGCTTTGTTCTAGTAGACCAGATTTTTAAGTCCTAGTCTTCCATCAATGTTTTTCAGGAGACTCACTTCGGCCCTGTTTGGGAACAGCGTTAGCGTTTTGAAAAGGCTATCTACGGGCAGCGTTTAGCGTTTTCAAAGTAGTCTGCACCGTTAAAATTTTATCCAAAACGCTAACGCTATTCCCAAACAGGCCCTTCATCTCAGCTGACTAGGGGCTCTTTTTACATTCTCGGAAAGCATTCCATAGAAAGCTCTCCATAAATCCTGAACTTTCTTCGTCACTTTGTTAGGAATAATGAATAGTTTAGTCTAAAAGAAAACAAGGTTCTACCTAATAAAAGTTTCTAACAAATATGAGATTTTATTTTGTTAAAAGATGAGTCACCATCTTGGAACTAATAAAAAAGAGAACCAATTGAGTATTGAATGATTCAATCTAACTTAAGGATGGCAACAGGTTGGGTTCGGGTCAGATAGTACTATACTCAAATCCAAGCCGACTTTTAAAATTGAAACCCGAACAAGAATGGAGAACACACAGAGATGCGATATAAGGACTAAGAGAGAGATGTAGTGGCACCATAGAATTGAAAAAAATAGACTATACAGAGTGCTCATTATATCCGTAGATAGCCTTTTAGGTTATAAATATTCGACTCGGTCCGGGTCGGATAAAATTGTAAACTCACAACCGACCCGACCTGATGTTGGGTTCGGATAAAAAAAATTGAGTCGGGTTTGGATTATTTTATTCTCTATTTGGGTTTGGATATTTTAGTGCTCGGTCGGGTCGATTAAGATCAGATTCGGGTTGAATTGTCATCCATAATCTAATCCATTACGTACTATGAGATCTTTTATGAGGAACTTAAGCTACTTTTTGCTTTTTGAATTGTGTTTCCCTGATCTTAAAGTATATATCTAGAATGTAAACTTTCTCTCATTTATAATGGGCCACATGGAGATCGTTTATTTTTTTCAACGTACCCAATTTATCCAAGACGTTTATATACTATGATTCATAAAATGAGTATATACTTTAAGACTATGGAAGAATCTGTCTTGCTGTTTGCCTCCCTTTTAGTAAGGCCTGCATTCTTCATATTATAGAAACAATAAAGCTCCAATTTCTTCCCATTGGTTTGCTACCGTTGAATAGGCAAGAAGAAGCTGGACTGGTTGTTATTGTGATGTTGCATTTGGGCTTAGGCCCAAATACAACCACTTCCTTTAAAATTTGGGCTCTGATTCGACCTCTTGTTAAAGCTTTTCTCCAAAATTAAACGTCTATAAATTTGGGTTAAGAAAAATAAAATAACATATGTAAGATACAAGTGACCATTAAATATATATGTTATATTAATTAGATTAAATAATATTCTGAAAATATTTTATTAAATAAATCTAATAAAATTATTTTTTTATTAATATTTAATATCCCTTTTATTTAATTCATGGTCAAAATTTGTCAATTTTGATTCAAAAAATTAAAAATAGACAAATACTCAAGAACGGATGGAGTACAACTTATGAATGATAATGGAAATGAATTTAAATTAAAAAAAATTTAAATTAAACAAAATATTTAAGAGAAATTTAGCTATATTTTTTATCAACGGAATCTGCTATATAGTACTAAAGCATAGTAAATTTTTCAATGTAGTACCATATGTTATTATTGTTTAATGTCCAGTGGATATTGTTGGACACTTGACATTATTGAAATAATATTTAATGGGGAATAAAAAGCTTTAAGTCATACATTGAAAAAAGACATTTATTTTAATACTCACTCCGTCCCTGAAAGAGTTTTCTTTATTGACTTTTTGAGAAATTAAGGGAGGAATATTTTAGTGTTGACTTTTCAAAAATATCCTTGATGTGATGGGTAAAAGTAAGATGTGATAGATAGATTATTAGTAAAAAGGTATGATGTGAAAAAGTAAGGGGTAAAAATAGTTTTTTAATAGACAAAGGAAAGAGTTAATGGGACAAAAAAAAGAAAGGAGAAAAAAAGAAAGGAGAATGAGTTTAAGGGACGGAGGGAGTACTATTTAGTGCAAATTTCACAATAATAAATATTCTCCTTCAGTGCGGAAAGTTTCGGAGTTGGAGTTCAACTTTTTTTGTATGCATTCTATCAAATAAAAGGAAAAGATTGATTTTTTTAAATAACATAGTTAGTTAAGCTTGAATTAGCCTTTTCTAAATATAATTAATTGAAACAAGTCTGACTGAGCCCTTCCAACTTAGTCATTTATGATGGACGGAGAGGGTTGGCTTTCCTTCAACCGCTTAATTACTTATAGCAATCAAAAGCTTAAAAAAAGTACTTGCAACTTGATACACTTATTCAGTCTTCCCATTGACTTGTTCTTTGTATTAAGATCTTTATTTTTAATATAAACAAATTATTCTCCACCCGACTTCAATCACGAGTTTTAACTTTTGATTAAGTAGTTATAATTACCTCTAGAGGGTACGGTGATGACTACATAACGAGTCTTGTTAGTCTAGAAGTCACGATTTAGAATCTCATTTTTATAATATTCAAGCAAGTAGATATCACCTGAAATGTCACGAGTTTAAATATTATTGTCACTAACTAAATTTGCCTCACTTGCACGTCAACGGCATGTTAGAATGTACTCCGTAAAAAAGTCGTGTTTTTAAAACTTCAATCACAAACTAAAATTTTTGGGTATAATTTAGAACACAGAATTTAAACTATGGAATTAGAATTGGAGACAAGAATATGAATTAAATATAAAGAAGAGGCAGAAAAGTAAACGAGTAAGGAGTACATACACTATATACGTACTTTCTTCTCCACTATATAAATGCATGCATATCTTAGCTTTCAATACATTACGGCTCCAAAACTATACGACAATAATTACAATTATATTGAACGAGAAATAATTAGTTCCTTTTTCAATATTATTTCGACATAAAAATGGCTAGCCGCAGTTCGAGTTCCGGCAGCTCGCCGGCAATGGCCGCCACCACTTTGGCAATAATAACAAAGCTCTTCATCATCATCTTCTTCTTCTCGGGATCTGCAGAGGCTCAGCTAAGTGCAACGTTTTACTCAAACACATGCTCCAATGTGTCTGCAATTGTGAGTAGTGTGATTCAACAGGCCTCCCAGAACGATCCCCGCATCGGCGCCAGCCTCATTCGTCTCCATTTCCACGACTGCTTCGTCAATGTAATGTCTATAACAATACTCTCTTCGTTTGAAAATTATTTTTTCATTTGACATTTTTCGGTCTCCTTTTTTGAACTTAATTAGTTGGGATGAATAATATTTAAAGAAAAATTAATTCTACTCAATTATCTAGTTTAACTCACGAACTTAAAGCGTGATCATTGGTGGTTTTGCATGTATGGTGCAGGGATGTGATGGGTCGCTTTTGTTAGACAACAACGGAACGACAATTGTGAGCGAGAAAGACGCTGCTCCAAACGCCAACTCCGCGAGGGGTTTTGATGTCATGGACAACATTAAGTCCGCGGTTGAGAGCGCTTGCCCGGGCGTCGTCTCATGCGCCGATATCCTTGCACTTGCTTCCCAAGCCGCAGTCTCTATGGTGATTATTCTATTTTTACCATAATTATTTATTGCATGCAGTCTCTAAATAAATAATATTATTGCATAATTTTTATAAAATTGTATGTTTGTGTTTGATAAGTATTTGCTTGAAAGTATAATAATATGATGCATGCATGAATATAATTAATGTTTCGTAGGCTGGGGGTCCAACGTGGAATGTGTTGTTAGGGAGAAGAGACAGTAGAAATGCAAACCAAGCATTAGCTAACACTGCAATTCCAGCTCCCTTTGATGGCTTGACAAACATTACCTCTAAGTTTTCTAACGTTGGATTGAACGTTAATGATCTTGTAGCTTTATCTGGTATGTGTGTATGTACTTAGTTATTTATTTAATTATTTACTTCCCTCCATTCTCAAAAACACTTCATCTTTCATTTTTTTTTACTTCCAACAAAACACTTCCACTTTCTATTAAAAAACCACTTTTACCCTCACTTTTTCATACCCTAGCTATCACATCATACTTTTTCTCTAATAATCTACCCATCACATCTTACTTTTTACCTATCATATCAAAGGCAAAATTGGAAGTCAACTACAACTTAACATTTTCTTATTTTTCCACTTTTTCAAAGTAGGAACTCTTTTTGAGAACGGAGGGAATATTTATTTGTGCATGCATGTGTATTTTTGTCCTCATTATTAATGAATGATAGTTACATTACGTTACGTTTAATTAGGTGCACATACATTTGGACGTGCGAGGTGTGCCACGTTCAGCAGTAGACTATACAACTTCAGCAACACAGGCCAACCCGACCCGACCCTAAACGCGACGTACTTAGCCACGTTGCAGCAGACTTGCCCGCAAAACGGGCCTGGGTCCACGGTCACCAACCTCGACCCGACGACTCCGGACGGGTTCGACAACAACTATTTCTCCAACTTGCAGAGCAACAACGGGCTCCTCCAGTCCGACCAAGAGTTGTTTTCGACGTCAGGGGCGGCGACAGTGGCACTGGTCAACACGTTCAGTTCGAACCAAACAACATTCTTTCAGAACTTTGCCCAGTCCATGATTAAAATGGGAAATATTAGCCCTTTGACCGGGTCAAATGGGGAGATTAGGTCAAATTGTAGGAGACCCAATTGATGATGAAAATAATGTCACACCCACCCTCTGTTTGTCTTTGCCTCTTCAAATAAAGCTGCCTTTACCATACAAAATGCCCATGGTTAAGGCATTACTAAATACACATTTTATTGATATTTAAGTGATCATTTGATTTGTAATATTTCAAAAGTTAAATTTTATATCTATGTTTTATAGATTTCACTTTTGATAGGTCATAAATGTCATAATAGCTAGCTAAATATGAGTAAGAAAAGTATTACAAAATACTTACATTTCAACAATTATATGTTGTGGTTTGTAATGTATTGGTATTTGTAAATATTTGTAAACAAGCGAGTGAATGAAGTATCAAATGAGTTAATATTGAATGAATTGCATGCAATGGTTTGGCTCCATCTTTTTTTATATCCTTATGTTATATTTCTACTTTCCAATAGATCATCAAGAACTTGAAATTTACTTAGAAATTGGATCATCTTTAGGAAAAAGATTTGAGTTGTTGAGAGCTATGCAAAGAAGACAGAATTATTTCTGATCCCACCATTCAAAACCATTTGCCATCTATTTTTATGTTTGGCTAAAGTTGTTTTAATTTATACTACCTCCGCTACAGAATATTTGTTGAGTTTTTACTTTTTGCAAACAATCATTTTTAACCTTAGACAAAATAATATTTTATAAAATAAATTCAATAAAACTATTTTTGTATCAGTATTTAAAATTATTTTTATTTAATTTATGATCAAAATTGCCAATTTTAATTTAAATATAAAAAATGAACAAATACATACTCAGGGGATGCCCATCCATTATTGATATGTTGCCATGTCGACTTATAACCCTGTCAACTAGTAATCCGTCCATGTCATTTTAATTTTCAAAATTTACATATTGGCCCTGCCACCTTCCCCGTCAACTCTTTAAAATTGTCAACCAACATTCGTTCACTTGTTGCCTTCTTGATCTTTTATTTTATTTTTTTCATAAATAATCATCTAAAATAAGAATAAAGTACTCTTGTCTATAGACTTTAACCCCAAAATAGTAGTCACATATTTTTATATTTAAAATAGGAGTTTTCATAATTGTGACAATGTGGCACTACGCCACTACCTATTGATCAGATACCACAATGTTTCTAGGTATTATACTGTCTCCGTTCCTTAAAATCTTTCCTTTTTTATTTTTTTATAATTCCCTAAAATACTTCCTTTTTCTATTAAAACATCACTTTTACCCCTATTTTTTTATACCATATCTATCACATCATACTTTTCCACTAATAACCAAACTATCACATCTTACTTTTACCCATCACATCAGGGGCAAAATTGGAAAGTCAACCAAAATTATTAATTTTTTTTAAATTTGGCTAAAAGTCAAAACAGGAACCTTTTAAAGGAACGGAGGGAGTATATTTTAAAATTGTGCTCTATATTATTTTTAAAAATCAAAATTTTTTGTATTTGAAATAAAATATAAATGAAATAGAAATACTAAAATATACTTGGACCAATGTCAATTTTACGAATGCGACATCGCAACGGCCCCGAATTATCACGTAATATGGAGTTCCAATTTCATGTGAACCGTCCTCATAACTCAAATAAGCGATACATTATGTAAAACAAAAGATATTATTTTAGTTTATGGATAGTAAATAAAACCATTTTTCTAAGACCAATAGATTAGTTAATTAATTTCAAAAAGATAAGAAGATAAGAACGAACTCTCCAAATAATTAGAACATGTTGATTTTTTTGCTATAAACATGACCTACTTGAATGAGTAAATTCTTATATGGATCTAAAATGAGCATAAAAAATATGATCATTCTCATATAAATAAAAAATTATTATCTCCTTCAAATAAAAAAATTATTATATGAATACACATTCAAACATATTTGTTTATCTCCGTTTAAACTAAAACAGCCATGGGCTTGGCGAGATGATCCATATTCGCGACAGTCTTTATTAAAATAGGGAATGAGTATATGGTTTCCGGCCTAAATGTTTAGGGCCTATTTTCTTAGTTTACAGCCCATAACAGTTTCTTAAATTGTGCAAGTATATCAAATGTTCCTTTAAAATTATACTCCGTCTTAAAATTAATTTTTCGTTGTGCTTTGTGATGTTTGATTAAAATTATTTTCAAATCTAATTTATAAACATTTGATGTAAAATTTAAAAATAATACTCCGTAATTAGACATACATCAAAAAACTACATCAAAAAGTCCACGAAACAGGAGGCAACATGATTATATTTTTTTTATCAAATAAGTAACAAAAATAGACTAACGAAGTGGTAAAGTTTGACCAATTGAATAGAAAATGAGAAGATAATTTTAGGACAAAGTATATTGTTTGTGGTGAAATGTATTGCAAATTTATACTTTTGAAGGTGTGATTTGTAGCCTTTATTTATATTCAAATTTGTAACTTATAAAACTTTGGGTTTGGTGTACCCCAAATGTAGACCACTTGTCTCTACACCATTCATTTTATTTTGTTTTTATTTTTTATTTTTTATGAATTTTACGTGCATTTTTTGTGGTTATGGAAGGGGTGGGAGATATTTTGGGTTCACTTTTGGTGTACCCCTAGCATTTTCCTAAAACTTTTGCTTTACTTTTATATGGTGCAAATTGTACGGAATAATTAGCTTTTTCCTTTTTAATTTGTAACAAAAATCATTTTTAAAGTAAAAAATTTTACTCGTACATGTTACTTGGAGAATGACAAAAATTATGGGAGAAAGAAAATACTCTCTCCGTCCCAAAATCTAACCAACACCATGCTAAATGAAGTAATTTTTTTAATTTTTTCAATCCATTTTATTTAAAGAATGACCTACAAATAAAAAATAAATATTACAAATTTGAAAACTACATCAAAAGTTCTATAAAACAAAAGTTGACAAGAATCTTTTATTTTATTGAATAAATAATGAAACGCCAAAAAAAAAGTTTCGATGATTTTTTAATAGTGAATTGTTGTAATTTTACATAAGTATAATAGGAGTATGATGGGATGATATCATGATGATGATGATGAAATTGTGTAATGATTGTTGGTAAGTGAATCAGTATCAACAAACATATCATCATGACCAAAAACAAAAGAATGTGTGTGGATATGTGTCCCACACTTTGCCAGCATATAGAAACAACATCCCATGAAGGTTGTTAATGGAAGGGGACCATAACATGTGAAAAATTGATGTTTAATTTTTTTTTATCTCACACAATCATTATTCCATAAAAGAATTGGGAGAGCATGCATGCCAAGCGCCCTATGATTTTGTCCAAGGGAACACATTAAGGTTTCTTTTAATTTATTGATGAAGCCTTGTTGCTCTACAAAAGTATGTCCATTTTGATTATTAGAGAGCAATCCGTGTAATTCATAAGACACGATTCTGTTGACACTGGCCAACGTTATCACGTGCACGATTTTGTTGACACTGGCCAACATTATCACTAGTGGTGATACTGCGTTTTTGGCGTATCTCTGATTCTCTGTTTGCGAAATTGATGGTTTCTACTCCCTCCTAACGCACCTCAAACCCCCACCACCCTCCTCAAGACCCCTTCAAATGTGTGGCTGTTATACATTTATGAAGTCTATTACTATACAAAAATTAACATTTACCGAGTACGGGGGTTAATTAGTTTATATCTTAGTTTTGACACACTTAATTTCTTAAGAGTGAATACGAGGAAATTTAATCCTTTTTTTAAATTTGATTCTTTTCGGTTTTTGAGAGTATTATTGTTGTTATTGTTGTTCTTTATGTCATTGATGTTTTCATTATTATGATTATCATTATTCTTATTTTTTGAACACTTAACATTATTATTATTACAATTACTATTGCTATTATTATTATTATTATTATTCTTGTTGTTGTAATCATTATTATTATTATTATCATTATTGTTTTATTGAACACTTATCATTATCATTATTATTACTACTGTTATTATTATCATTACTATTATTACTACTATTAGTATTATCGTTATTACAATTATTATTATTATTGTTCTTATTTTTATCATTATTATAATTCGGTTTTATACGTTTATTATTGTTGTTAATACTCGGTAACGATATAGTGACAAAATAGTGTGTTATTTGTTGGGATAATGTAAAACATGAATGTCACATGATGGCTTTCCATTAAGGTCACGTTATGAGTTTAGTCAACTCGTACGAATACGGGCTATACGGAGTAACAATATGTGGAGTACAATACGCTTGAAATTGTATATTTTTTAATTTTTTTTATTTTTTTATACGAGTATATTTTTATTTTTTTTATAATGAACGACGATTACAAGCAAAGAGCCCGATGCCCGTTAACCTCGTGACTACCCCGGAGCCCGTTAACACCCAAGGTAGATAGTCCACTACAGAAAGCTCAAAGTAAGCTCAATCTAAAGCCCAGCCCCATAAGCCCAAATATACTTCACAGGGGGTTTCCCATCATTTTTGCTACTCTCATGCAAGCACACTTAACTCTTTAAATTGATATAGGAATATAAAACTTAATTTATATATTTAAAAATTACGCGAAAAGTTATTCAATATAAGTGATGATAAAAATATTTTATTTTTCCAAATAATCAATAAAAATGTTTAAATACGGAATATATATTATGTTAGGGCACAGATCCTCTAATTTCTTGTGGGAGACTAAAGTCAAACACTAGAATGTGTATCACCTAACATAATTCTTTGTGATACGTATTCAATCTTTTTTCTCCCCAAGTACCGTTGTTGTTACAGAGTAATACTACGTAACTTGTAATTTTTTAATTTCTATCAATTTCAAATTGGTTCTCGTATGAAAAAATGAGATTGTTGGTATACTATTTTTTTGGTATAAAACTTTTAACTTTTTATATATAAACTACAATCATAGACTTTTAATATTTATTAATTTGTATATTAAAAGTCGTTTAAAATAAGAGATTTTTTAAATGATCATTTACAACTGGATCGGAGACATTTCATATGCAATCAATATTTATCATATATTATATTCGTAGTCCTTATTGATTGGGTAACATTAGAGTTTTGTCCTTGTTTAAAAGTTTTGAGACCGAAGAAAAGACAGATAACTAAACGTGGAATGATACACAATCAATAGTGGCTACAAATATAATACTTGATACATATCGACTATATTTGGAAAACCTACAAGTTAAATTTGAACTAAATAAGACTAAAGCATAAATCATTTTTCAATGTATAACTTAAATATTTTTATTCTCTAAATAGTACTCCCTCTGTCCTAAAACTATCTTCTCAAGACTAAAGCATAAATCATTTTTCAATGTATAACTTAAATATTTTTATTCCCTAAATAGTACTCCATCTGTCCTAAAACTATCTTCTCAGTTACTATTCTCATGGTCAAACTTAAATCACTTTCTTTACCTATTTTCGTTAGTTATTTGATAAAATAATATAGTCTTGTCACCTCTCTTTTTTATAGAACTTTTGATATAGTTTTTAAATATGTAAATTTTATTTTTTAATTTTGCACCTACAATCAAATAAATTGAATTGAAAATAAAGTCGACCAAACCTCGTAAACACAAACGAGAAGATGGTTTTAGGACATGGGGAGTACATAATAATATATAGTGGAAGAAATAATGTCTGATGATGGTAGACATTACTTGAATAATGACCAATGGTCCTACATTAAAAAATAGAAACATATGATCATATATTGAGAAAGTTATTATGTTGTACTCCTATTTATGTCAACTAGTATCACACCCGTGCGTTGCACGGGTCATTTTTATGTTTTTGAACTCAGATCATTTTTCAGTGATAAAAACTGAAATGCAATAGAGCTTAGTGTATATATAATTTCAAAGTAAAGAACATCAATGTTTTACAAATTTCGAAAGACTTCTTTATATACTACATTATGTGTAGTATTTGTGGGAGTATCGTCTTCATTGCATATCAGAATCTTCAATCCACTACGATTAGTTACTCTTGAAACTGCAACATAGAGCTGTCCATGACTAAACACAGGTTTCCGTAACAGTAGTCCAACATGTTTCAGAGATTGTCCCTGGCTCTTGTTAATCGTCATTGCGTACGANATAGTCTTGGAATAACAACTTCTTCACCCATGTGGCTTCCTGATAATATTTTTCCTTGTATTGAGTGATTAGCCAACCGGGTTACTATCAACCGTGTACCATTACACAAACCCATTGAATGGTCAATATTTCTCAACAACATAATAGGTGTGCCTACCTTCAGAGTTAATTCGTGATTCGGTACACCTGAAGCACGAATCTTATTTAAGAATTCGGGAGAGTGTAGGTCACCAAAAAAACTTGAACTGCAATCCGAGTTCTCAACTTTATCAGAACTAAGGTATGTTCGAGTCTCGCTGCTTGGATTCATCGCTGTCATATATTCGTTTATGGAATCGACGACATCCAGTGTAGGAGCCAAAATTGCACGCTCCTGCAAGTAGCTCAGTTCGTTGGCTATTTTTTGAAATTCTGGATAAGTTGAATTCACTATAATGTACAATTCAACCGAACGCCACTACAAAAAAAGTTATAATTATTTTTAAATATAATATGTGTCACAATTTTTTAGTAATTAGCTAACCACGAAATAACGTATCATACAAATGAATTATTTAATAATTTTTTCAAAGTATAATTTTTTTTAATTAAATTGAAATTGGTTATTAAAAAATCACTTACTTGTGGTTCTCCAAGGTAACTTCCATCATTTGCTCCGGGGCATTTTTAACCATACGGGTTTCGGGCACAGTTCGACTAACTACTTTCCCGATTATATCTGAAAACCAATAAAAATACAATTTTAAAAATTTCATAATCATAATACATAAAATGTATTTCATATGTGTAAGTATTTAAATTATGTAAATGTAAATGACCCTTACCAACTAAAAAGACTTGGTCAGCAAACTTTGTTTTGACAACATCTTCAAAACTCTTAAAGTTGAATTGAAAATTAGGAAATCCATTGTCTGATAGTTTTTGAATCCTTGTCTTTCCCAAAAATTGGAGCATGCAAGGGTGATTGGTAGTTTTTGTGCCTTGGGAATTGCGTAAAACATTGGCCCTCATGATTAAGTAAACCGCATTTTCTTGCAAATCTTTTTTGAATGTGCTTATATCAGAATCTTTGATCTGAGCATGGATCCGAGAGCCCTAACAACAAATATAAAACGTTAATCTATAATTAAATTTATTTTTTTTGTTTAAAGACGTATTATTTGTAAAATATAAAACAATGTAGAACTTACCTCCGAGTCATGGAAAACAACATCCAACGATTCCGGCCCTCGAGAATGAGCAGCGACATGGTAAACTCTAATTGCCCTTAGCTTCATCATCAACAACCCGGAATCTGCATGAACATTTTTTACGGCGGTAATCATCACTCCCATCTCCAACCAAAAACAGAGGAAAACACCGAATATATTAAAATAATAACTCTCTAAAACTCTCGTTTCCTGAACACTCGTTTAATTTTCTGGGACGGTAAGGTAGCGTATGAGAAGAGAGAAATACGAAAATAGCACTTTAATAGCACTTTAATCCTCAAAATAGCAGTGCTGTTAGTTTTGGAGATGAATTCTCTTTTTTGTCCTTAAATAAACCCCTAATATAACACCTAATATTAAATTTCCCTAATTAGGTTAATAACTACGTTTACTGGTCAAACGCTATAGCGCAGCCGATCTTCCCAGGCGCAGCAGCCGATCTTCCCTGTCACGCCATAACGGGAATCCTTCCTCGTCACACTGCTGAACGCGACGCAGCAGCTTCTGGGAGACCCAAGGTTTCAATGGCAAGGGAAGATGCACTGGACGAGATCCCTCTAAGCAAAAGATTGGAGAAGATACAGGTATGATTAGTTTTTGGCATTGAATTTGCTTCTAAAAAATTTTCTCTAACAAAGTTTGGAATAAGTTTTTTTTTCGGTTGGCAGTGTGTTCTTAATTTTTTTGCGATGTGTTTTTTAATTTCCGTTTGCAATGTGTTTTTTAGTTTTCCTCAATGTGTTCTTATTTTCCTCAGTGTGTTCTATGCAGTGTGTTTTAATTTTTAAACTTGGCAGTGTTTGTATGATTAACGTATTGAATTTTTTTTTGGCTTTGTTGAACTCGTTTAGGTTTTTTTGTGATTGTTAGACGTAATTCAAAGTTTAGAATTAGTTTTTGCTTCTATTTGGCATTGAATTTGCTTCTTTAAAAATTTCTCTCACAAAGTTTAGAATAATTTTTCCTGGTGTGGCAGGGGGTTTCTTATTGAAGGTTCACTGCAATGTGTTTTGTAATTTTCTTCAGTAAGTCTTTTTTTCGGTTGGCAGTGTGTTCTTAATTTTTATGCAGTGTGCTTTAATTTTCAATCTTGGCAGTGTTTTTTTATTAACGTATTGTTTTTTTTGCTTTGTTGAACTCATTTAGGTTTTTTGTGTGAATGTTAGACGTATTTTAATGCTTTTTTTCGTCTTTTTTTTGTTTTTCGTTTATAAAATAGCTGTTTTATTTTATATATAAACGAATGGGCAACTTTTGGGCACTGTCGATTTTCGTTCGGCAGTGTTTTTATGATTAACGTATTGAATTTTTTTTTGGCTTTGTTGAACTCGTTTAGGTTTTTTTGTGATTGTTAGACGTAATTCAAAGTTTAGAATTAGTTTTTGCTTCTATTTGGCATTGAATTTGCTTCTTTAAAAATTTCTCTCACAAAGTTTAGAATAATTTTTCCCGGTGTGGCATGGGGTTTCTTATTGAAGCTTCACTGCAATGTGTTTTGTAATTTTCTTCAGTAAGTCTTTTTTTCGGTTGGCAGTGGGTTCTTAATTTTTATGCAGTGTGTTTTAATTTTCAATCTTGGCAGTGTTTTTTTATTAACGTATTGTTTTTTTGGCTTTGTTGAACTCATTTAGGTTTTTTGTGTAAATGTTAGACGTATTTTAATGCTTTTTTTCGTCTTTTTTTTGTTTTTCGTTTATAAAATAGCTGTTTTATTTTATATATAAACAAATGGGCAACTTTTGGGCACTGTCGTTTTTATGGGTTTAGTATTGTATGTCGTTATTATTTTCTAAAGTGTGGTTTTTGTTTCCCTTAAGTTCTATGCAGTGTGTTTTAATTTAAGTTTGGCAGTGATGTTTTGATTAATGTATTGATTTTTTTGGCTTTGTTTCCCTTTTTTGGTATTTTTTTGAAGCTCACCCAGATGCTCTATTGTTGTTGTAGGAAGTTGAAGTGGNAATCTCCATTTGGCGTTATATTAGATGTCGCAGAGTTTCCATGGATTAGTGGTTATTTACTTATTACTTTGGTCAGAAATTGTGATAGGCCATCTGGAGACGAAAGTAAAAAAGAAGTATTGACTTTTCGATTTCATGGAAATGAAGTGAACTTGACGAAGGAACAATTTCATCTAATCACTGGTTTAAAGATGGGTGGTTACAGGGGCGATATGGATAATAAACAGAGAAGAAGGTTTGCGTCAAGGTTCTTCCCCGGGAGAAAATCAGTACAGCGTAAAGATATTTCCGCAGCTTTTTTAAATTTTAAGCGGGATGCACCTGGGGCACTTGCTAGTGATGCACTCAAGATGTCATTGGTCTATGCCTTGTCACATTCATTCTTAGGTAACCAGCCGACAGTGAAATTCCCGATGTGCTATATAAACTTAGTGGACGATATAGATGAGTTCTATAGTTTCCCATGGGGAGATGATGTCTGGTCAGACTTGGTTGATCATGTTCATCGGTGCAGACTAAGCATTGAAAAGGGTGGAACTTCTCGTCCAACATTTGGGGGATACATGTTTGCACTGCAGATATGGGCATTTGAGACTTTCCCGTCACTTGCGAAGGCCGGGATGTGTATGCTGGTTCCTGGTAGAGAAGTGTGCATACCACGTTGTTTGAAGTGGAAGGTTTGTGCTAAATTTAGTGCTCGAAAAGTGTCTGATGCACTGTTCAAATCTGAGAAGGTAACTTTTAAGATTAGATATTTTTATTAATGTTTCATATGGCCTTGTACTAGTATATTTATGTTTTTTCAATTGCAGTTGTTGTTGACTCCCATCGTGCCTACCGTGGATGAGAAGAAACTGGACAGTGTGAAGCTTCTTTTTCCTTGTGAGAAAACACAGTCCGCCAAAGGAAAGAAGAAGTTGTCGCTGCATGATGCGAAGCGAGCATGTCAGGAGAAGAAGACGGACAAGAGATCAGAGGATGCAGTGTTGACGAAAGACAGTGGAAATATGTCTACCAAGCAGGGTGGAGATGATGAAGTAGGTATGGTCGGTTTGGGCAGTGTGAGTGGTAATGATATGGCTTATGGGTCCAACGGGGAGAAAGAGGAACGTATTCAAAAGCAATGTGGTGAGCACAAAGAATTGTTGAAAGTAATGTTGGAGATTATGGCTAAGCAAGCAGAACAAGACAAAAAGATTGATCAAATTTTGGTTATGCTTCAACAAAAAGCTGTAAGCTCCCAAAATGAAACACATACCGTGAAGGATAGCATGATGGCAGAGAAGGAGCAGCTGAAACCAGAGAATGATGATGTTAGAAAGAGTTTGGAGAATGATGAAGAAAGAATGATTAATCCAGAAGGACCATCCTTTGAAATACTTACTCCCATTGCAAAAGATGGTGTGGCTAGTGATGGGAATAAGGATAATGGTAGTGGCAGTGTGTTGGTAGTTGAAGAAAGTCGTACTGAAGACTTTTTCAAGCCATCAGAGATTTCCTTGGGTGATACACAATTCAGTCCTCATGATTTGGAAGTTATAGACAAGGTGACTGACATGTGGGCGAAGTCTTCTGAGAGACGCGAAACTGTAATTTATTAAATACTTTTATATGAGTTTTTACTTTATTCATGGGTGTAGTTTTTTTGCATTTGTTCTCATTTTTTTTTTAAATTTGCAGGTTTGTCCAGTTGATTGTTCGAAGAAGATAGACTTGCGGAATGTAGGGGGCGATGGTGGCAAGGCGGCTCTTGACGATGATTTTGACAAAATTTTTTGGAAGAGCAAAATGGGCAAAAACGTTGGAGAAGAGACGAAGGTTAGGAATTCAATCGTGGCAGTCGTTTGCTACTACGTATTAGTTCTAGTTATAATGTCTGTTTATTTAATAAGAGTAGTGGTAGTAAATTGATATTCATTATTGTTCATGATGGTGAGGGTAGGTTGTCGCGGCGCCTACGAATTCTGACAGTGCTTGTGTGGAGATTAAGAGGCCGAAAAGGGTGCATAAGAGTCCAGAAAGATATACTCCAAGCGAGGTTGTCATTAAAGAGAAAAGGCGTAAAATTGAAAGAATGGTACGATTTAGCGAGCGCGTGAAGAGTGAACGGAATGGGCAACGATATAGGCCATTTACTAAGGATCCTAAGCAAATGCCATCCGAAGAAGATGTTGAAAAGGTTAGAGTTTTCTTGAATGAAGGACTTTTGAAGAGAAGAGGTATAGCTACCGGAACTTGTAGGTATGTAGCTGAAGTGGATGACTTGTCCAAAGATCCCATTGTCCTGGATGGATTCAAGGTGGAAAATAAGACATGGTTTTATGAGCTATTTACCAATACAGAGTGGTTGCGCAGCACGGTAAGATTTTTTTATATGTCTTTCAATTTGTTTCTTTTGTCATGTGAATATATATTTGTAGCAGTGTGTAGGTGAGTTTTAATGGGGTGTGAATTTGGAGAACAAAATATGTCGGGTTTTATGACTTGGTATTTTGTCATTGGAGTGATTTGTATGAGATTCAAGTTTTGAATAGCCTGGGGTTTTTTTGGAGAGGTGTGGGCTGTGTGAATGTAGTGTGTTTCCCTTTTTTTGACAGATTTTTTTAAAGGAGGATACACTGCCTATTCGAATTGGTTTTTGGTCAGTGTTGTTTTTACAGGACAGAGTATACTGCCTAATGAATATGCATTTCGGCAGTGTGTTTATCTTTGTTTTGAATTGGTTTTTTTTAACATGGCAGGGTATACTACATGATCCATAAGGTTTTGGGCAGTGCTGTTTTAACAAGACGGGGTGTACTGCCTTAACACTTTAAATTTCGGCAGTGTGTTTCTCTTTTTTAAAGTGGTGTTTTTTACATAGCAGTGTATACTGCATAATGCATTATGTTTTTGGCCAGTGTTGTTTTAACATAGCAGTGTGTTCTTTTGGTTAGATTTTTATTAAGCAGTGATGATTGCGCTTGTAGGAGCATACAATATGTGTAATGTAATACCATTATTCGGGTTTCTTTTTTTATTTCAGCATATAGAGATTGCGATGTACTATCTTGAATTGAAGAGCATTCAATACAGCTTGATGCAGACATACACAGCAGCGTCACCATATTTTTTGCAAGGACTCAAGACGCACCAGGAGATGGTAGACGTCGGCAAGGTGAAAGCGGAGGCTGTGATTGATAATTCTAGTCTATCAAGTGTGGTATTAGGATTAGCGCACCAATATGCGAAGCCTTGGTGTGATTGTGATTTTGTATATATGCCATTGAACACTGGGAACCACTGGATGTTACTTGTGCTCGAAGTTGAAGGAAGGAAGATAAGGGTCTATAATTCTAAAGGAAAGAAAGGGCAGACAAGTAGGGAAATCATTCCATACGTGACGTGTATATCATCATTGTTACCCAAGCTTCTTGACATGTTGAATGTGTATGAAAATCACTCGGATGGGCCAATGGGAGATCAAAAGCTCTCAATTGATATAATTGATGGGTGTCCACAACAAAGTGACGGGTATGTGATAGTTAAGTATTATGATTTTGTGAGAGTGATCTTACATGTGTTGAAAATGTAGGCAGTACACAATGTTTACTGACTTTGAATTTTGTATACAAATGCAGGTCTAATTGTGGTATGTTTGTAGTGAAATTCGCAGAGTTTTTAATGATGGATTTAAGGATAGATGAAGTGCAGTCATGTGACATGGAAGCTTACCGGGTTAAAATGACAACAGAACTTTTAGCTTATAGCTATGAGAGGAAGGAAGAATCCAGAAAGCAATAGACTTTTTTTGATACCTTCGATATTTTATTGTTCGTATGACAGCTGTTTGGAGTTTGTTTTAGTTTTTTTGTGGTATAAATGATATTTTGTTTTGTTTTAGTAATAATTTTTGGGCATTTAATTAATTAGTGATTTGAAAGTGGATTAGTGGATATTTTGTTATTAAGTCACACTGCCATGACCATTCCACACTTCCAAAATTGTTTAGGCAGTCACTGCATACTTTGTTTGATTAAGTGGAATATACACTGCAATGTTTGCACACTTTTCACTGCCACATTATAAATAAGTATAAAATTCTATGCTCTTCATTGCCATAATATGTTTGAGATTGAGTTTAGTGACCTAACACATTCGAGTCTTCTGGAAAAAAGAGGAGAATTTATTTTATTTCATTGGTTTTTTTTTACGGTAATTATACACTGGAATATGTAATCTCTACAATGCCAGAATATGTACTTCCAAAAATTCAATATGTAAAATACACTGTAACAAAATGTACACCGCCACACAATATACACAATGTTAGTAACTCACTGTCTAACATACACTTCCAGAATATATTCATTGCCACGAAATATCTACACTAGCAGAATATATACACTGCCGTAATACAATTCCACATTTCACAAGGAATTTAATAAGAATTAAAAGAATGCAACTTATACCCTATTCACTATTTGTAAGTCAATGGTGCAATTAGACGAAGTATTATATAGTAATAAAAAAAATCAAGTTATAGTATAAGGAGTACAACTATTAAAAGAGTGAAAAAACAAACAATGTGTCTGAACAACGTCAAAAATGGATGAAGGAGAGCGTTGAGAATTGTATATTATACGGAATATGAAAGAGTGCAGTGTCAATTTGGTATTGGGTTTTTGCATGTTTTTACGTTATGCCCCAAATTCAAACACCGTGTGCATCTTTGCTTTCTACGCCTATGGCCTATTTGAAATTCACCGACTGATGGAAGTCTCCTCTTCTTTGGTCTACCCGGTGGACGCTTATTACAAGATGGAGGCTTGCAAATCACTAATGAAACATCCGGCAGAACACTCCAGGATGATTTATCTCCTATTGGGTGCACAATGCCATTGTAAGTTGCAACTAATGATTCCCGTCTGTAGTACGGTGAGATGAAATCATAACATGACAAACCAGGGCGAGACGCAATAGCTGCAACGGCATGAACACATACGAAATGGTCCAACTAAAATTCACCACAAGTGCACATTCTGTCCCTAAGGTTAACAATAAATGTCCGAGTCCACCTATCAACGATCTCAAACTCATATGAGCATGATGGCTTAACCTGTATGAGGGGGAAATTAATTAAGCAATTAAAATTATTTATGAAACATAATATTATGAAATAATTCCATTGTAAATATGTATTTTACAATAATATAAATGAGAAAGCTACCTTCATCTTGAAGGCATCCCGTTGTAAAGTTATTAACTCAGATTCCAGATTCTGAGTAAGAATTGTTGTCGTAGATAAAGCTCTCTCATGGCGTTCATGGAACCATTTTTGCATCCTTTCTCTAATGAAATCAACTAACTTCGAAACAGGGTATTCGCGTGCAGAGTTGCTAACATTATTCATTGATTCTGCAGCATTAGATGTCATTATCGAGTATCGAAATGGCCCACTCTTGCAACGTGACCATTTAGATTCGCCGATGTCCCAGAGGTAAGAGCGGATTCTTGAATCTTGTTCGTCAAGCATTTGCAAATACTCCTCACGCTCAAACTCAGTTGCTGCACGGCAGGATTTCCTAAACTTCCACGCTAGATCTTCTTTCGGTCCCTTAAACTTGCCTCGTATGTTTCGGACAATGTGCTCAGTACAATGACCATGTTCTACATTTGGGAAAACCTTGTCTACAGCGTAAAGAATTCCATCATGACGATCTGATATGATATACATATCATGCCTGAAAGTTAAGGTGTCCTTTAGTTTTGTGAGGAACCACGTCCACGATTCCTTATCCTCAGCATCACAAATGCCAAATGCTATGGGAACAAGTTGTTTGTTGGCATCCTGGCAGCACGCAGTTAATAAAGTCCCCTTGTAGTAAGATTTCATGAACGTTCCATCAATAATGAGAACGGGGATACAATGATCCCATGCTTGTCTCCACGCCGCTAAAGAAAAGAACAAGTATTTAAACTTGTGATCATCAGACCTAACCAAGTGTATTGCAGAACCTGGATTTTTCTGCTCCAACATATAGCACATTGATGGTAATAACTGGTAGGAATCTTCATCTGAGCCATACAACTTGGTCAATGCCTTCTGTTTGACTAGTAAAGCTTTCCTATATGACATGGAAACGCCATATTCCCGTATCATGTCCTCACGCAAGTCATTAGGAGGGTATGGTTTCTTGGTAGCGTCCACATAACGATGAAGGAGAATATCAGCTACAAATGATGATGTTGCCTGTCAGTGATCGCCTTCTCGAAAATCAACAGGGCAAGTATGGATTGAGTCAAACCTATAAAACAGAAAATAAAGGCAACCGGAATGATTAAAAAGGGTTAGGTGCTTGTCCCAAAAGTGATGATAGTTTAAAGTTTAGCTTAATCTACTAATTAGAATTCTAAATACCATATAAGAAAACAAAAAACGTGTTTCTTATTTTACATCTTCAGGTGAATAAGCAATAGGATGACTAGTTAATACAAGTGGTAAGAACAAATTTCTAAGCAATGGTTTCTAAGCATCATCAAGAAGCTTAGTGATACCAAAAGTTCACAACACCATTGCTTAGAAACCAATGTATCTGCTGATCACACTGCATTGCCTAATTTAAACTAAAGTTTGTGGTACACTACCGCAGCTTGTGTAATTCAAATACACTGCCAAATTTGGGCAGTATGTATAGCAGTCAAGAAGAAGGCTATGATGATACTAAAAAGTTTTGCTTAACGTATTAATTAAAATTGTAAATACCATATAAGAGAACAGTAAACTTGTTTCTTATTTCACATCTTCACTTTAAAAATCAATATGATAAGTACTTAATACAAGTGGTAAGAACAATTTTCTAAGCAATGGTTTGTAACCATCAACAAGATGCGTACTATTACCAAAAGTTCAGAAAACCATTTCTTAGAAACCAAAGTATATGCTGATCACACTGCACTGATTAATTTTAGGCATAATGTTTGGTACACTGCCAGAACTTGGGTTTCAAATACACTGCTAAATTTGGGCAGTGTGAGCAGCAAACCTTTTTTCTGAGTTTCACTTTTTTTGTTTTGGAAAAAAAATAATGTAACGAACTTTTAATTATATAAAAGCGTACCTGTGTATCTGAAAAAGGGGTGAATTATCTATTCGAACAGCACGAAGGGTCCATGAGCAACGATCATCAACACAAACAACGTGTAAGCATGACTTGTTCGACCTCTTTGTCCTATACTGGAAGCTATTAGACACATCATACATTTGTAGATGTTTGCATAAATCATCCTTTGACTTGTAGATACCGTCAACCCTAATGGTGGTGGGATGATAATGTGAAATGACATCCATAGAAGATGATGAGCCACCTTGAGCTATAGGGTCTGTTGCATTTTGAGTGTGAACATGACTTCGTGGAGTGCATGAACTCCCATTACCCAGGATTCCACTGCCACTCCTCTGAGGTGTGGAGTATGTATTGCTTTGCAGATTAGCATTGCAAACAGAGTTAACATATGCCTCGTTGTGAAAGTTGTGGTCATTGTGGGTAGTGGCGTCATTACTTTGTGGGTGGACAGTGGAATCCAAAACAAACTCAACACATAGTGGCAGGTGTGAGGTGTCATTTTGGAACGACTTCAACTTCAAATAGAATAGTAATTCGGAATCATCAGAAACAACAATAGGTGGGGGGGAGCCCGCAACAATATAAGAAAGACGAACAATATTCTGAGACCAATCAATACGTATGACAGATTTGAGTAAATCTAAGAAGGATTGGAATGAAGTTTTTTCTAGGACCTCAATCACTGTGTTATACTTTGAAGTAAAGCTTCCATGAGTATCCCATGTCCCGTCGACATGTAGCAATATCATCAAATTAGAACCCATTTGTGATGCTCCTATTGAAAAAAAATAGATAACATTCTATTAAATTAAGTAAACAAAGGAATGAACTCAAACAATAGACGTATAACCTAATATACACATTTAGTCAAACACGTGAAGAAGTTGAAAATCATGTCTCCTAACCAATTATACTATGTACCTATACTTCAGAATGCAAACTTTAGTTTATTAATTGCATACAGCGCACAACACACTTCGAACTACACTATGTTAATCTTCAATGCCACTATGCGTATATATTTATTACTAGCACTCTAACACACTTCGAACATATGCCACTATGTTAAACATTCTCTACGAAGAAAAATAGGAAATAAATAAAACAAAAAATGCAGGGCAACATTTAGGCATTTAATCTTCACACTGCCCACACCATAACACCTTATCTTGACAGTGCCAAAATCACACTGCCAAAATCCAGGGCAACATTTAGGCATTTAATCGTCACACTGCCCACACCATAACACCTAATTCGACAGTGCCAAAATCACACTGCCAAAATCCAGGCAACATTAAGGCATTTAATCTTCACACAGCCCACACCATAACACCTAATTCGACAGTGCCAAAATCACACTGCCAAAATCACAATGCCTTTCAAAAGACCTAATTTTTCAAAAAGGACAAATACTAGGTATTTCAAAATTGATTTCACAACACCTAATCTTTAGTACGAAGAAAACACAATAATTAAACTAAAAATTCATGGAAATCCGAATAAAGGGATGAAGGAATGAAAATTACAAATTGAAGGGGAAGAGAAAATGATTAGCCACATCAATGAAGGAATACAAGATAACCTGATGATTGCCGCTGTTGATCGGAGCAGAAATCGTGGGAGAAGGCCTGAGGATCCATGAGGAGTACGTGCGCGAGAGTAATACTACGTGCGGCTAGGCAAGAGGAGTGGCGTAATTTTTTAATGAGAAAAAGGAAAAAGGTTAAAGGGCATGATAGTAAAGGATTGACACAAAAAAGTGCTAAATTTGTTTAGAAAAAAATAAGTAGTGCTAGATGCGTAGTTTAGGGTGAGTTAGAGTGCCATGTAGGGTGATTTCTGGTAGCGTATTTATACTATCCACGGTAAGTTAGCGTATGAAATTGTGGTAATTACAATGTACCGTGCATTAATACTGTGTATTAATATATGGAAAGTTTTATTACATATTACCTATTATAATATAATAATATAATATAATACCGTGATATATTTCCTTTTTAATACTGTGTATTAATAATTTTAATATTGGAAAGTTTTGAACATAATTTCGTTTTTAATAATATTTTAGCTATTATAATACCGTGCTTGATTTCCTTTTTAATAATGGAAAGTTTTGAACATAATTTCGTTTTTAATAATATTTTACCTATTAGAATACCGGGATTTATTTCCTTTTTAGTAATATTAAAATTATAAAATTTTATTACCTATTACCTATTACCTAATACTGTGCATTAATAATTTTAATATTAGAAAGTTTTGAACATAATGTCGTTTTTAATAATATAACATATAATTTAATAATTTCGTTTTATTACATATTACCTATTACCTAATACTGTGTATTAAAGTTTTGAACATAATTTCATTTTTAATATATGGAAAGTTTTATTACATATTACCTATTACAATACCGTGTATTAATAAATTAAAATTACATAATTTCGTTTTTAATAATTTCCTAAATTAAAATACCGTGTATTAATACTGTGTATTAATACCATGTATTGGTACCACGTATTAAATAAGTATAATAATGGAAAGTTTTGAACATAATTTCGTTTTTAATAATATTTTATTTCCTTTTTATTAATATTAAAATAAAATTATAAAGTTTTATAACAGTTTATTAATACCGTGTTTTGAACATAATTTCGTTTTTAATAATATTTTACTTCCTTTTTAATAATATTAAAATAAAATTATAAATAGTAATAACAGTTTATTAATACCGTGTATTAATTTCGGGAACTTAATGCCGTGTGATAATGTATAAATATACCATATTTATATGCGATCTTACCATATGTGGTTAAGACCATTTTAGTTTGTCATTACTAATTACCATATGGGGTTAAGAATTACCAAATTATATGTACCACGAAATTAGCGGGAAAAAGCCATTGCAAATTCATGGCTTTTTAAATAATATATAGATATATAGATTTCTCAACCTACATTTATAAAGGATTATTTATAAAATTTGTACATAGAGTGCAATAAAGTTTTGAACCCAAATCATTAAAAATACGGAGTACTCCGTACTATTTATAGATTTTTATATATGAATCCTCTTATACGGACTATTAAAAATATGAATAGATATTATTATTTTGTAGAACATTTGATGTGATTTTGAATGAAGTGATTTGTACTCTTTATATAATTTGAAAATAATTAATCATTTTAAAAGATATGGATTGCAATTTAACCTGTTTTTGAAAGAAAGAAAAAAATAACTCTAGGATGTGATATTTTTTTCTTTTCAGAGGAATTGATTCTCTAGATATTGCAGGAATGATTACAGGAATTGACCGGTATGGTACCCAGTCTTAAAATAAAGCAAAATAGGCCGGATCCTAGTTTGTTCCAGGCACCCGTATATATATAGGCCTGCCCTAGCATAGGGCTGCCCTTAATCCGAAGGTACATCCTACTCTTTACAACTGGGCTCTGGCCCAGGTACCCCCCAGTCCCCACCCCACCCTCATTTACTACTCCAAATATACGTCCTCTTCAAAAATTAAACTAAGGATTTTAAAACTCAATTGTGTTTTTATGCTAAAACAAGTTAACTCTATATAAAAATCAAATGTAAAAAAAAAAATTCTAAGAGGAAAAGAATATCATGGTTTCCTAGCACTGGAAATAGTCGTGAAGCTCTTGGAATTCAAACATTTTCTTTCTGCCACATCAATTTTAACTTACATCAAAATTTCTTTAGAAATGGGTTTGAAACTTCGGTGCCTCAAACTGCGGCTTTAAACTTTTATTTTTTACATTTTTGGATGTACATCTTCTAAAATTAAATTAATAAGATTTCTTTATATAATTAAATTGAAATGACAATAACTCATTAAATAAAAAATTACGTTAATCTAATAAGATATGAATAATAACAACATAAATAAAAAATTACATTACATTTAAAAAAAAAAATTGAATCGCTGGTTCCGGTACATACGGTCCACCACGACACCGTAACCACACCCGTCGTAGCTGGTTCCTCCTTACATCAATATTTTTTCCATTCCCACGGAGTACTTGTACCTCTTAGTTAATTATTGAGTTGACTTTTGTCTACATTGAAAGTTTAAACCCAATTACGGAGCCGTATTTACGTCCACGTCAACTTCCTCCATAGTTGTTAGAGTATCAAAAATAGGGCTGCCGTTACCGGCAACGGTACCACCGTTACCATCTACCGTCACCGTCGCACGGCACGTCCTACCGGTGCCGGAAATCGGTACCAGAACCGCCCCAACCGGTACCGGTACCCAAATTTTCTTCCTGGAACCGCCGGTACCGGTACGGTACCGGTACCGTTACTTTGTTTTTTTTCCTGCACCTGCAACAGATCGGCCAACCACCTGCAAAAAAAAGAAGGGAAACATTAAAGGGAAGGGGGGGGACTAGTCTTCAACGGGAGGAACAAGTGGCCTGCAAAAAAAAATTATTAAACAGATCGGCACACTTTAAACAGATCGGCACACAGGGGGGACTAGTCTTCAACAGATCGGCACACTTTCAAAATTTTAAAAAAAGCAAAAAAAGGGGGGGGGAGGTGAAACCGGCTGGTCCAGGAACCGGTACCGGCCGGTTCGATCACGGTGCCGGTGCCATGGGGTGGCGGTACCGGAACCGGCGGTTCCGGAACCGGTACCGTCCCGAAACCGTACCGTGTCCACCCCTAATAAAAAAACTTAAGTCAAACCATTACTTCTTTATATTCTTTCCCTCTCTAAATATTTATTATATTTAAAAAACAAAATAAAATATTAAATTTTTTTAATTCATTTTATTTAAATATTAGTATATAAATAAAAAACAAAGTTTATACATTTGAAAAATCTCACATTCCTTGCAATTTATTTCGACCAGCTGAACTACATCGACAACTAAAGAAAAAAATACTCCCTCCGTCCTAAAACTTTCTTCCTAGAGCACTATTCCAACTTCACGGGAATTTATATTTATTTGTGTTTTTTCATGGCCTATATGATAAAATAAAATATTCTTGTCACCACTTGTTTTGTGGAACTTTTGATGTAGTTTTTAAATATGTATATTTTATTTTTTATTTCTATACCAATATTAAAATAAAATAGATTTAAAAAATTTGAGATTTTTCTTCGTTTTGCGCAACAGAAAGAAAGATATAGGACGGAGGGAGTAAATGAGTGTGAAGGAAATGTGAGGAGGTGTTTTTTACCAGAATACCCCTCAATGTGCATGTATAATGGCGATTCCTATAGTATAGGGAGTACTATACAAATAATATTCCATCCTATACATATTTATATTTGACGTGACATGCATATAGTATAGAGTAGCCTCTCCTCTCCTCATTTCCACTTTTCTCTGTTCCAAATAATCTCTTCTCATAAATAATGGCCCTTCCCGTTAGTTTTTCCAAGAATGAACAACTGTAATATTTTCCCATTTACCCATTGGTTTCTTTTAATTTACTCCAATATATATTTGTGTTATTGTATCAATGGGCTTTTAACATTTTTCAAATACTAGTAGATACATAATTATATATAATCACTACAAAATATAGGTGCAAATTATATTTCATTTAATAAAAAAAACTCAAGGTGCAAATTATATTTCATTTAATTAAAAAAAACTCAATTCGCTAAACAAATACTAATTTCCGCTTGAATATAAAAATTTCAACGAAGTATTGAAAATGTGGCTCCCAATATTTATCTCTTTTTTCGAACAACAGCTAACCAAATATTTTTCTTATTTAAACTCTTCTTTTAAATTCCGTAAGAGTGAAATAATAATTACAATTTTAGAGACTAATTGTATACAATAATACTCCATCGTTCTAAAATATTCTTCCCGTTTCTATTTATGAGTTTTGACTGTCTTTATTTTCAATTTAATTTATTTAATTGTAGGCTTAATATAAAAAAATATTTGTACCCTAATATAAAAATTTCATTGAAGTATTGAAAATGTAGCTTCCAATATTTATCTCTTTTTAGAACAACTTAAACCAAATATTTTTCTTGTTTGAACTCTTCTTTTAAATTCCGTACATGTGAAATAATTACAATTCTAGAGACTAACTATATACAATAATACACAGAATATTTTATGACTGAGTTTTTTTTTTATGTATTTTCATCAAATAACTAACAATAGGTGACTATTGGTAAAGAAAATTAGTAAAGAAAGTTATTAAAGTTGATCGTTAAATAATAACAAAAAAGAACGTTTTAAGGCGAAGAGAGTAATGATTAATGTTAGCATTTTTAAATTTAGGTTAAAAAGTAATTTGTCATTACTAAATTATCTAAAATGATAAGAGAAATGCTAGAGTCACAAACACTTCGGTCACAAAATACACAAACTTACTATTTGTGTATTTAAATGTTTACTTTTTAACTATTCAACATCATTTTATTAATTTAGTGAGGTGCACAAATAACAAGGTTGTGTATTTTGTGACCAAAGTGTTTGTAACTCAAGCATTTCTCAAATGATAATGTGACACCACTCACACCCAACCAAACACCAAAAGAAGTGAAACATTAATGACAAATGGGAGGGACTATGATTTGAAATTGGATTGACCCTTCAATCACCTTCTAATAATTACTCCATCCATCCTTTGCTTTGGGTCGGGCTCTGATTCTAAATCATCACTGTCCACACCCACTACCCTAATAACACTACCCCTAGCTACCCGAACAGCCCCAGCGTGCTTCTGCCCCTGCCCGCAGTCCCCTTTCACTTTTTACAGGATTTGATTCACTAATCAAAGTAGATACTTCACTCTCCACATTTATGTTACCCACATAAGAATTTGAATGAGATCAATCCTTTTATTTACAAAATTGTTCTTTCCATCCCAAAAGTAATACTCTCATTATCCATAATTTGATTACAAATTGTGATTTACGAAGAAAAATGGCTCTCCGATTGAAGTCTTTTTATTTATAAATTAGTATATCAATTAAAAATTACATATTAAAAAATTACGTCAAAAGTTCTAAAAAATAAAAGGTTACAAGAATATTTTACTTTATCAAATACTTAATGAAATCGCGAAAACAAACAAAAGTTATCGAGAGAAGAGAAAAATAATTCTAATCAAATTGAAGACAGAGGAAGTATCACACTTATTACTTTAACATTTCAATAATATTTGTTTGTTTACTCATTTTCACGGATCATTTGATTAAATAAAATATTATTATCACATCTCAATTTGTAGAATTTTTGGTACACTTTTGAACGGTGTAACTTGTACTTTTTTATTTTTCTTATCAATTTTTAAGTAAAATGACTTTTAAAAACATGAAATTTTTTCATGTTGTTCAAAATGTGATAAATATTTTGAGTCAGGGGAATTATTAGAAAAAGAGATGAGCCACATTTATGCGGGTCCCTCAAACTGAGCGAACGGTTATGTGAGAAGAGGTAAACTGAACTTTAATCACATATTGATAACAAAAGATAGAACTAATCCTGACATTTATAAAATATTTATATTTAGCATAGTTATTTTTTAGCACAGTTGTCATAAACTAATCTTCTTGTTTTAAGTTGGATTAAAAACAACCTTCCTAAGCTCCCTTAGCTTGCCCGTGGGGGCCGGTTGGAATATAAACATTTACGGAGTATTAGGTGTATAGTTATAAATTTAACTTTGTAATTGAGTTCATTCCTTAACATTTGTGTTTTGGTTTTGGATAATTTTAAATCATAATGATTTGTTTTAGAAAGTTTATACACACT